AAGTTTTTAACTTTAAGTGCTGACTTATCACGTGCTCCGCGGTGAAGGAAAACATCGTGAGGAAACCTGCATATTTTCGAAATAATAACAAAAAAAATAAAAAAATATTTCGAAGATATGTGAAGTCCGCCAATCCGCAGTGGGGCCGCGTGGTGGACTATGCCCTGATACCCTCTGTATAGAGGAGGCCTTTGCCCAACAGTGGGACATGTATAGGCTGTTACTTTACTTTACTTTACTAAAAATAGGAGTGGCTTCAAAGATTATCAATTGATGAATTTATTATTATTCTCTTCTTATAAACATACTAGCTGCTGCCCGCGACTACGTCTGCGTAGAAAAGGCTGAAGGCGTAACATTCGGACAGAAAGACAGATATACATAAACTATGTATATAAATTATAGCCTATGGTCTTATTCTGATGTATAAGATACATTATTGTAAAGTTTCGTTAAAATCCATGTATTTGCGTGAAAGAGTAACAAACATCCATCCATACAAACAAACTTTCGCCTTTATAATATTAATAAGGATTGCAAACACTACAATTGTAGTTCAGGGTGTTTAATACATTCAAAGTCAAAGTGAAATATCTTTATTCAATATAGAAGCATACACTTACTTATTGATAGTTAAAAAAGTCTACCACTAGTTCGGAAAGAAAGCCACTGGCCTGAGAAGAACCGGCGTAAGAAACTCAGCGGGACATTTTTTTTTATATTTTTCTTTTTCTTGACAAAAAAAAATTACAAATATGTGTACAATTTATTAAATTCCACTTGGAAGAGCCTGGAGCGATCAATTCATTTCCAGATTGTGTTATCATTCAAATAATCACTAATACTATAATAGCCATTCACGAATTAAGATCGTGTTCCTCCAGTAATATCATATATTTTTAGTTATACAATTCTTTTTTTTATGACTGATGTTACGCCCTCAGTCCTTAAACTATTAAAACTTCATCAAACAGAGAACCAGTGGGCTAGCCATGGTTTGAGGCCCTCCTCAATGGGTAAGGCCGTGCAAAAACTCATGTGTGCGTAAATATCGCATGCTGGGCCATCGAGAAGTATATAATTCTTCTGTGCGTGTGAATGTCACTAAACTCCTCCTAAACGGCTGGACCGATTTTAAATTTTTTGTGTCTTCAGGTCGATTCGAGAATGGCTTTTAGATTCACAATTATTATTCCTAAGTAGTCGAATTTAAGTCATATGTACAGGAGAACGTCTGTCCGGTCCGCTAGTTTTATTGTAAAATTTAATGGGAAGCATCTCCACTTTCACGGCTATTAGGCTAGTACTACTACTAGCAATTGTCCCTGCGACGTGTACCTACTTTTATCGGGATAATCAGAGCAAATGAACACTTTTTCATATAACATTTTATAATTATATATAATAAATATTTGAAAACTATAGATGTCAACTTTGTACACACTAGATGTAATATAAGTAGATAAAGTGCTTTGAGATTTTCGTCGGTGTGAAGATAAGCCGTGTTTAGCTCAGTGGCTAGAGCGTCGGGCGCGTATCCTGCAGAATGCATGTTCAATTCTTGCAGCGGAAAAACTGTTCGTTCATTTTCTACATATTTTTAAATTTCATCTTCATTACAGGGAATAACGCTATAAAATTAATACCCTTTAAAGACTTTGATGCAGTTAGTATTATCTGCATTCATTTGCTGTAAAGAAAACATACAACTATCCCTGACTATCCCTGAAAAACACAAGACATATAATATAATTATGTAATACATACCTATTGTTTCTTATACATACTATGTATATACATACACGGCGTAGGTTATTAATATTACAAGAAATTTCACATAGCTTAATTGAAATTTCGAGAATACACCAATATTAAAATTCTCAGAAAAATATTTATGAGGCTTTATAAGATGCGCATATTGCCGAAATTTTCCCAAATTTTAGTCATTAAGCAAAGAAATCATACAAAATGTTTTTGAACAGACGAACAAGAAATTAAGCGATTTCATTCGCCGCACAAGTTTTGCTCTGTTTTTTTTTGTTTTTCTACACACAAAGGATTCCTATTGGAAAAAACAAATATGTAAGTAAGATTAAATTTGCGATATCGCACTTCTGGGGTTTCAACAAGTTCCATTAACTTGTTTCATTTTGTTGACTTGATTATAGTTATCGTTTATTTTGAGAAAGGAAAATAATTGAAATAATTGGTCTGTGATAAGAATTTATTAAATATGTAACACATATGTGTAAACTTATTAAATACTTACCGTATAATATTAAAGTGTATGTAACAATTTTTTATAGAATAAGCTAGTAGGCTAAAAGACAACTTGTCGTTTTATCTTAAATGAAAGCTTAGACATGTAATTTGACTTGGACTTTTACTTTGAATGACCATTATTTATCTTGTCCTGAAACAAAATATGAAATTCCAGAAAATGGGACATTGTGTCAGCATAATTCACATTATATAAACGAAAAAATACACACATATACGTGTCTGATAAAAAGTTTCAAATCATATAAATGAATAACTATTTTTTTACGAACGAAAAACAAAACCGACTTTCAAATATCTCGCTCTGTATTCATTTTATAATTGATTTTCAGGAGTTTCCAAAGTATCTCCGGAGCCCAAGATTCAATACCAATAAACTTAATATGAGACCACATGGGAAGCCCCACCTTCATATACAGCGTGTCGTTACCATCGCGACAATAAATGAACACACATATAGGGGATAACTTTTTAAAGTTGTGTTAAACATTTAAATTCTTTAAACATCGATATTTACAGAGTTATTAAATTTTCCAAAACAAAGAATTTTAGAACACCCTTACCTATAAAAGCGTAACGTAAAGTTCATTTGTAAAGGTCACAAAGCATATGAATGGGTTGAATGAATTTAAACGAGACAAAACATACTGTTAGAAGGAGAGGCTTGTAATGCGACGCTGTGGCGCGAGTTGTATAGGCTGTTACAAATTTTGTTTCTTTTTTACTTAATTAGTTTGTTTGAAAAATATTTTTTTTTAATTATGGATTTTGTTTAACGTTAATATTTTTTTATGATTATTGACAAGTAGCGTTAGACGTGTGTTCATTTTTTGTAAGTTTTAAATCATCTTCTGACTCGAGGTGGTTCGAGAATTTAAATCTTATCTTTAATTATGTCTCAATAAAGAACAGTACGTCTTTATGAAATGTCTGTCAATCCCTAAAAAATTTAAGAAAAGGCTTTATTGTACACCTTCACCAGAAAGGGAGCATCCATTAATTACGTGTGGTTGTGCCATGCGTCGCTGGCATACATAATTATTTATTGCTGTATTTACCCCAGAATCGCGGCAAATGTAAAATTGACTGCTAAATAAATATAATAATACTATATTTATTTACACTTTATTAAATTGGCTTTCATTGACTCGCTTACGTGGTCTTTAATACATACATAATCAAAAATCTTCAACTTTGCTCACTGAATAACGAATCATAGTAAAAATTATTGACCATAGAATTGATTCACCATAAAGAGAAAGTTTTAAAATTACGATAAAACGAATGAAATATTTATACGAAAAACTATCCTGGGAATATGAATTTAAAGCATAATTATTTTAGATAAGAATGTATGACATTGATGAAAAATAATAAATAATGTTTTTGGCGGACTAACTTGAAACTTGATTTTTATTTATATTAGGTAAAAAAATAACTACTTCCTATCGAAATTTTTTTCTTTCTATTACTTTTTTTAAAAAATAGTACTTTATTATAGTACCTACTTACTTTGTTTGAATATCAGATTCGTAATTCGATTCGATATTCGAATAGAACATAGTGGAAAAGCGCCATCTCACTATGAAAATGTGTTGTATTGTCATAACTCGTTTGAACTTGTTTCAAAGAGATGTCGCTAACATCCTAAAATTTATGTATTTTCCTAAATTTTTTGATATCAGGAATAATTACTCTTACTTACTACTGTTACATCTTAAACTTTGAAGCGACCTAGTAATTCCAACTCTCAGACTTATGTGAACTTCTAAAATAAATTTAATTATTATAAATGAAAATATAACATATTTTTTATCACTAACTTAAAATTAAATCGTTAACATTGAGTATAAATTCTTGTGCATATTTTAATTATTTATATTCGTAAAATATTATGTATACTACCATAAGCCATCCAATAACGAAATTGCAGCAACCTACAACTGCTGCTGCTAAGTCAATTATAGGCCATACTGAAATCAAATTTCTTAATGTAGCAAGCAAAAAGAATGATAGAAATGGCATTTTATAATTTGTTAGTTGTATTTCACTAGTATAACATTTAATTAAAAACCAAAATAAAAATTAACAATTACAGTAAATAAAACCCAGATGACACAGAACATACAGGAAAATACATTTCATTATTAAAGTTTATTTATATCATGCAATAAATGTATTAAAAGTAGATGAAAAACAAAGATCAACTCTGTTTTCATTATAAAATTTATTTTCATGCATAAAAAGATACTACATTCTCATAAAAATAAAAAAAAAACTGTTTTAAATTTATTCATTTCAACGCTTGGTCAGTTTGTATAATCTTAAGATCTAATCATCTTGACTAGCAAACAAAATTAAAATCATACATGCTAATGTAAACTTAAAGTAATTTCATAATTAGAAATGAGAAATAATAATTACATTAAACATTCAAATCATTAATTTTATAAATCATTTTTTCTTAATAGGTCCTTTACATCTACAACAAAGTTGGTGGCTGTTCTTATCCTTTTTAAAGTGTAAATTAAATTCTTGTTTCAATATCTTTCTATACATTGACTCTTTCACAGGCACCAAATTTTCCTTGCTACAGTCACTAACATACATTGTATACATTTGCTTAATACTTAAACTAGACTCTAAATACTGTTTCTTTCTAGAATATTGTTTTACTGGTTTTGAATCTATTGTCGTGAAGGACATTATATGGTTTCTCACTCTGTCTTTAATTTCTGAAGGCAAAGAATGTGCACTTGCTTCGGATAAGCCTCGACCATCAGGCTTTGGTAAATTCATATCATTTTTTCCAGAGTGCACATTATAAACTGGTTTTTGAGATATTGATAATGTCCCTAAATAGAAATTTTTACATACTGTATACCTAACTCCCCGAACTAAAAAGAAATATTTGAAAGAATACTTCCGTTTGTGATTACTGTCAGATGATTTACTATGTTTGATATAATTTCTTTCAGTTGTATTGAGGAGGAAATGTTTCTTCTCATTAGTATTTAAAGAGTAGAAAGCTTTAAAAATGTGTTGACGGTCTACGTCATTAATTCTCTCATTGCATTTAAATTTGCAAGACTTGAGGCAATCTTTTGTATTTCTAATACGTCTCTCTGGAACATACTTTCCCCGTCGACTTATGTATGCTTCACCTTTCTGATGCTTAATTTTTCGTACATTGCATGCCCATTTGTTAGGGTTTGGTACTTGGCTGCGGGCTCTTTTATTTTTAGGTGTTATATCTTTGTCTGGATGCTGGCTACTGTCTGTTTTACATCTGTGAAAGTTGCATAAATAAATATGAGGATTGCAAAATAAGTGATTATAGGCACAGATAACTCAAATATAACTTACTAACTAGTTTCTATTGAGGCTACATCTAAATAACAGAAAAATTGGAACAACTACAAAAATTATATTAACATTTGTATTAACTGCTATTGATGACAGAAAATGAATGTTGAATGTAGAGAAATAAATATTAATCCATGATACCATCTACTATTTTTCAGTCACAAATAGGCAACTTACTCTACATGTTTCTCAGTTATTAGCTGGACACCAGGTTCAACTTTAGTAATGATGCAGTGCTCATCCTTCAGATATGCCCCATAGTGCCCATAGTATGTTTGCTGGTCACTATGTGTTATAACATGCTGCTTAAAAACTGGCACTTGCGGCAGTATAACGTGCGAAGTTATTTGCATCGAGCTCATATCGTTCTGCAGTATCTGCGGCTGGATTTGCTGCATATTCTGCAGGTGGATTTGTTGGCAGGGCATCAACGTTTGATTTTGTGATAGAATCTGCTGGCTTGTGATTTCATGTTGCACATGCGACGACACCGGTATGTGCAAAGTTTCAGATGTTATCGTCTGCTGGTACGTAACCTTCCCTTGTGGCGTTTGAAGCGATGGATGAATCGACACAGAGGGCTGGTAAACTTGAACAATATGAGGCAAAGTGGCCGCCGTTTGAATTTGATCCATTTATAATGAAATTGTTGACTTTTTGCTATGACATTCAACTTTGTACATATAAGTATAATGGAACAGGGAACTTCTGTAAAGTTCGCAATTTAATACCTTTGTTTTAATGTGGTGGTGCTATTTTGGTCAAATTACATTAAAGATAACAATTAATAGTTTCACATAAATGATTAATAAAAAAAATTTCTCTTACTTTTACTGTTTTTTTTAATACTTCTCTGTAGTATGCCACGGTTCTAACTCAAGGAAAACAAAACAATATGGACGAATGACAATTCCTCGATTATCGAAAACCAAGGAGCGTTTTAGCAACCGAAAATATAGTGCAACACCAACCTTCAAAAACCGGTAAAAATTATAATATATTTATTACTAGCTGTGCCCGCGACTTCGTCCTCGGGGAATTTAAAATAAAAAAAAAAACAACGGCTATCTGCCAGTGAAAGTCCGGTCCAAATCGGTTCAGCAGTTTCAGAGATTACCCAGAACAAACAGACAGACACACAGACAAAAATTGTAAAAAAAATTATTTTGGTATATGCACCGTGTATACATCCATATGCATTTAATAAAAAGCGGTTATTTTAAAATTACAAACAGACACTCCAATTTTATTTATCTGTATAGATTATATTTTTATAGTGTAGTTTGCTGTTAGTCTGGTGACTTTTTGACAACATCCACGAAAGATGACCCGCACATTTTTTTTTTAATGAAAAGTAAAGTGAATACCGCCGCCCATGGACATCTGCTACACCCGAGGGTTCCAGATGCGTTGACAACCTTTTAAAAATTGGGCTCCGGCCATCTCACGCACCAGACGAAACGAGAAAGTATTACACCGGTCTTCTGTAAAGTCGTGGTACTTACCCGGACGAGCCTGCCCAGTCTTGGAACAGCCGCGGTTGCCACGTGGCCCTACCACCGTAAGATGACTAAGACGTAAGACTCAAGAGAAGAACTTTCCTTTTTTTTGTTTACACGGGGGAAATGCGAATCGCGGGAGCAAGAGCGAAAAAACCCCCACGATGTTACACTTAGGCGGATATCGGCAGGGTCACGGGAACGCTTTCGCACACTTCCGCGACCCTGTTAGCGGTACATTCTTGACCGCCAGGTAAAGCGCGCTTTCACATTCAGTGCGCCTTCCTATTGGGCCCCATTTTCACGGCCAATGAACTCCCCCGAGTTCACTGACCTGAGCCGTGGGAGCCAGGAGAGCCAGTACTAAAAAGCAGCAAGCCTTCCAGATCCCAGTGGCGGCCAATGGTCTGTGGCTCCACCGCTCACCACGTTTCGGCTGCTGGAGGATAGATAGAACGGCGCATCGCAATACCGACACTCCTGTCCTCCCGCGCCGTCACCACCACTGCATCAGCGGTGCAGCGCCGCCGAGTCGCGGATGATAGGGAGAGCGCACAAATGCAATACCGGCACTCCTCCTCAGTAGAAGAAAACAAGGAGAGTAGCTCCTCCTCCACCACTCTCAACCTGCCCCTGCACCCTCCAGCACGCATCCAGAGCGGCCCTCTCGGGCTAGCATTACACCACAGACCGGCCCAGTGTGGGTTCGTCTTAGCTTCGCCGTGGGTGACCAATCAGCAGTATTAGCTGTTGAATGAATGGGTAGGTCCGTCCGATTTAGTACCACGTCCTTACAGAAGAACAGCCTAAGTAGAAGTGTCACACTTCCGCGTTTCGTCTGGTGAGTGACATAGCCGGGGCCCACATTATTAAAGGTAATAAGACATCTACAACTGGTGTTGCAAATGTCCGTGGGCGGTGGTTATCACTTAACGTCAGGTGAACCGCCAGCACGTTTGTAACTTTCTCACATAAAAAAATGTGTCCCACATACTTTATTCCTCTAGAGGGGATAGAGGTAGACTGCGTGCCTAAATCGGGCCTTCTCCTAACTCGTTTCTCGCCGCGGGGGCCTCGAGTGAAGACGCGTGCAGCTCCAGCGTTGGGCGTCGAATTCGACTTCGCGTCGCGAATCACGATGTAATTGATGAAGAATGAAGCCAAAATTGAAGATAGAAATATATGAAGATAAAAGATTTACGTTGTTCATTATAAAACTGATCTCCGAGTTATTACCGTCTTCTTAAAGTCCATATCAGGGCTACATGTGATAACGTAAAAGAGTTCTTTTCAGAACTGTTTTTATTCCTGTTTCGCCGTATAATGAATGTAACTTGTTATACGCCATAAACGTATACGACGTACGTGTTCATTAACGTATACGTAATGAGTTGGAAATTAGGAGATGAACGAGACATGCTTATGTCAAACGATAGCTTACAAAAATTTAATTATAAAAACAATTGAAATCCGAAAACAATTACATTTTATACTGAGGCAAAGGCCTCCTCTGTATAAGAATATCAGGGCATAGTCAACCACGCGGCCCCACTGCGGATTGGCGGACTTCACATATCTGCGAAATATTTTTTTGTAATTATTTCGAAAATATACAGCTTTCCTCACGATGTTTTCCTTCAGAGCTGAACACGTGATAATTAAGCACTTAAAATTAACAATTTCATTGGTACTGGCACCGGGGAACGAATTCAGGATGCTCGAGTAGGTATATTGAATTAAAGATGAGCGTCCGGACACTGAGCTATCACGACTCAAGGGTCGTGATAGCTCATGTCATTAGAAATGATAAGAGTCATTACAAGAATGCGTTAAATTAACATTTCTTTCTTTCATATCTAGAATTCAATTATTAAAAAAAAATACAACATTTACAAAAGTAATAAATTCACGTAAACTTTCAATCTTTGAAAGTTGATTTCGTTATTAATTACGTTATAAGCAAACGATCGTATACCGCCAACTCTATAACAATAACATGTCGTAAGTGATTTAAAGTGGCCGGCCTGGCACACAAGGATAATTTATTCCACGCTAGGATAATACGTACGTAAATTTTGCCCAGAGAAGCCTAAATCCTAATGGGCCGGTAATTCTACGCTAATTTTTGGGGGAGACTAGCAGAGGGCGGATTGGCAGACTTCGGATCTTCGAAAACATTTTTATTAATTCGAAAACATGCAGGTTCAATAAAATTTCGCGATACAATTTTTCAATATAAATTCCTGTATTATTTGTATAGAAAATTTCTTATCATTGATGGTCTATGTTTTATTTTGTAATTTCATAGTTAATCAGGTCCACGGTAACCCAACAATAAACAGTAAATCACATGCAAATACGAACAGAAAAAAGTTGACTTTGCATTAATAAAATTTTGATTTAAATAAAACTCATATGCAACTATATATAAATCATATTTATTATAAACCTGTATAAAATAGTTAATTAAATGCTAGCCTGTTCATTTGTACTTTATATTGTTTGGTTTTAAACTTTTTGTATATAGTTAAACAAATATCTTTGTTAATTTCGTCATTCATTTTAACATATCACATAGAAACATCCAATTTTATCACCGATAATATCACTACTTTTCGGTTTAAAACCGTTTTTCGAATAAACATTTTTATATAAAAAAAAATATAATTATATATTTTTATATGGTAACATTTTAATAAAATCCTAAATTATCATTTTATTGCACGTCCAAATAACACAATTTTTCAATTACTGTCGTAAAACTTGTACCTCTCGCTTGTCTTGAAACTTATTCTCTAAGAAGTTGAACACATAATCGTATACGACTAACATAATAGCACCGCCTGGACCCAATCGAAGCACCTTCGGCAACAAGCCTTTGTAGAGGGCGCGGAATCTAAAACAAAAATAATGCATTAGATCTGAATGACAAATAAAGAAGCAAGAGAAGTTCTTTACTAGAGTTCAGATTGAATGCTCAAATTAAAATCCCAAATAGTAGACGCGGTATAAGAAATGTTGTATTCTACAATTGCCAGCTTGCAGCATACTGTAAACAAGGTTAGGTTAAGTCATTTTTCATTGTCACATAATTTTTCGTTAAATCAATAAGACGATGGAAATACATTTTATACGAGCGGTGACACTATGAACTGTTGGGCGGTACTTTAATCGAAATATAAACAACTTCAAACAAATTTTAAGAGCTATTGTGAATATAATCAATTTCAAACAATTTAAAAAGCTAACCTAATGGCAAGGGCCTACTATAATGTCAAAGAATACATTGTGGACAAGGATGTGTGGATATTACTTTTGCTCTGCACTTGCAAGACCCCTGGCTGCTGCTGATTTTATACCTTAATAAGTTTGTATAATTGTATCACATAACAAAAAAGAGATTACAAGACCGCAGTTTCTTCTCTGTTCAGGTCTAGTATAGTGAACTGGTGGTAGTTTTTTTTTTTATATTCAATAAGAAATTAAGTTAAGCCTATATTAAATCAAGATGCTTTGACTTTAAAATATTATTGGCGTTCATTATGAGTCGTTTTATTGCTAAGAACTTTTTACAGTTCAATCTAACTACAGCCAAAACCTATTAAAATCTGGTAAAACAAGATCAGCAAATGAAGATCTAATGAAGATCTGACCACAAATATTCGATTATAACGGTTGAGAAAGCAAGATTCTCAAGTGGTAACTTTGAATAGGTAAACGCCGTGTTGTATTGCTACTACAAATGCGTTGATCGATGGATACAGGAGGCAGGGATGCCGTGCTTTGGAGGAATCTTTAAGCAAAGCCTATATGCAATACAAAACGAACCAACAGACGGACGGAACTAATTTTAAGTATTGGCAAATGGAACAAATTGCCGTTGCTGTTTGCAACATCGAGTAAACAGTCACGCGCATTACAAGACAACCGTTCACGTTATCAGCGAGTTTCGAAATAGACCTAGCTCTAGCTATGCCGTGGTGTGGACTATTTTCGTTGAACCATGACAGACGAACATGGATTTTGAACCTTAAATAGCAGGCGTTAGTGAAGTTATTACTTTCGAACATTGTGATGACAATGAGATTATAACTAAAAACGACAACTCAATAGTGATAGAATCTATTTTAGTTTAATCGGATCCTAATTTCAATTGTTATTTTATATATTTTTCTAAAAGATGTCACGCCGAATTTTCTCTAAGCTAAACTAAGTATAAATTCTGGCGATTATTACGATTGAAGAGAGAGACTGGATGGCCCGACGATTACAAAAAATCATATCATTTATCTCATCTTATCTTTGGAGTCTTGACCTATTTTCCTGTTAGGACTTATACCGGTGAGTGTAGAAAATGAAATATTTCATAAAGTTTTCTCGTTACGTTAATTACTTAAAAATATAAGATGTTTTTTTTTTTGGAAAATTCGCTACATAGAAAACAGAGTAAAGTATTTCAATATTCAAATATTAAATAGAAATTTGGAGGGGTTATAGCCGATGAGTTTTTACAGAGCTGATGAGAGAGATGTGTCAGGAGTAAAGGCCGTAAGTCATGGTGATGCGGTTTTAGTCAATGGCTTTACGACTTATCCTGTCTGCTGAAGAGCTCTATTATAGCGGAATAGGAATCCAATGCAGGAGCAATGCTGGCAAAAATATACCCTAAATAGATTTATTATAAATATATGTCCATTATTAACGTATTGCCTTTTATAAAATGAATTTCATAGCTATTTCACTTCTCAGTATAAATGTCTCCAATGTAAATATTTTCGGGCTGACGTGCGTTTGGCGCACGCGTCATAAGCGTGATCCTGAGTCAGTGCGGGTGCACAAAGTGTACAGTCCGCGGAATAGTTGGATCCATTCCAGGTGTATGTACTGCTGGTCAAGGAATTAGGGCTTTCGATGGATTCTATTAAATGCCGGTAATACGACCGGCCCGAGCAGGTGCGGATTACAATATTATAGTCGAGCAAAGACGAACCAGCGCTCACAAGTAATTGTGAGAACGGTTTGAGTTGCTAGAAGTACATTGCAAGCGTTATTAAGAAAAACCCAATTAAGATAATCATATACATATCAGTTTTTTCTACGATCTCACGTAAAAGATTACTGGATCAAGCGTGGTCCGTCGGGAGCGGATTCGTCTCTCGTGTCAAATTGAAAACAAAATGCTAAAATAGTGCTGACTAATAAATGATACACGTGTCCAATGCAATATGATACAATACGTCTCTGAAGATCCATGATTGTTTTTTCAAGGAGTACACGTGATCGCTTTATTCATACATAAACAATTAGTATTGGTAAACAAACAAAGGAGTAGTTGGAATTGGATAACTCTCATTGCAGTTGAATGTGGAAAACAATCGATCAATCAATTGGCTGTAAATTCACTTAATAGCCGAATTTGGACACATTTTTACACAGTGTTATCTAGTCCCAAATTAGGCTACGCTTGTACTCCTAACAGATAAACATATTTAAACATATTTTTCTTTTATAAATAAATACATATTATACGTTTATAAACACCTAGACACCGGAAAAAACACTATGTTCATCACACAATATTTTCCAGTAGTGGGGGTCGAACCCACACTCTCTGGTGCAAGAGGCAAGTTCACACTACCTACTACGCCAATCGGGCCTTAAAATTATAGCTAAAATATATCAAATTATAGCAAACAATAGATCTTAAGTTATTTATCGTAGTTATTGAAGTCTATTTAATTAATAAAATAAATTAATTAATAATTTATATAATAAATTAATTTGTAAAGTGCGGGCGTTCATTAAACTTATATAAGATGAGTCTCGCGCCAAATTTATTTAAAAGTAAATACGCAGAGAGAGAAGTAAACAAAATTATCTCTTTGAAAATAAATAAAGGCAAATAAGTAAGATAAACATTAGATTTTAACGAATGCTTATTTAGGACTCTCCACGACGACAACGAAACCTAATGACAGATGGTATATATTGTTGCATTTGTGCAACCAACGGAGAATGAAAGCTTTGATGATGAAAAACAAGATCGATTGGCACGCTATTTCCAGCGACAGGAGCATTGGGACAACGTTAAAGCAAGGTTGGCATCAAGCCCGGGGAAACGAGTTTCTTATTTATAATTTAAATTTTACGTAAGGCCAGTTTTACGTAAGATAAGACGCATGAGATACGCACAAAGAATATTAAGGCCCATTTACACGATGCCATTTTCTTGAACATACAAGAGCAATAATTGAATGCAATAAATTGCGCGCAATAATTGTTTAGACCATTTCTTGTTTAGACCATGCAACTCATTTATTGCTTCAATTTAATTGTATACAACAGGCAAGAAACTGGCACCGTGTAAATGGGCCTTTAAGTACACTGCTGCTCGATATCTGTGGTACCTGAAGAAAGTCTTTGATCAAGAATTCCCTCCACTTAGACCTACAATTCGGAGAATTAGAACGTAACTGGTCTCGGACGCTGGCCTTGATGTTCATGATGTTTTCGCTTTCAATCAAAATCAAATCAAAATCAAATAATTTATTCATCGAAATAAGAAATATACATTTCATCTATCGTTAATCATTTTTTTAATCTACCACCGATTCGTAATGAGTTTCCTCTAATCTTGTCCTCCAATCTTGAGGACTATAGGACTTCGTCGTTCACAGAGCCCACAAAGTAAATTGTCTAAAGACGTTCGAATTCAAAATGGAGAAATGTAAAAAAAGAAAAAAGTAGGGATCGTAGCGGCGAAGAAACAGAGGTATATATGTAGTGTCAGCTACGACAGTGAGGTAGGAAAACCTAAGCTAAAGTAGATGACTTCGCGCGAACGGCCAAAATGCTATATGGCATGGTAAAGTATCGACTCGCGAAGTCGCATATCCTTTCAACAGTCTCGGATTGACCCTACAATGCTCTGTATAAAAAAGATGACGAACGACTAAAGTAATTTCAAATCACAAATTCAAAACATTAAAGAGTAAAAATTAAAAAAAATATATTAACTTAATTGGGATGAATTTTGTGCGTTGGAGGAAAACCTTGTTGATTCTGCGATTTAATAATCTTAAAGAACAAAATGCCATTATGGTAATTATAGATGTTGCGTATATTAAACCCGAAGCTAGTGATCACGAAGATTTACGCGACTAAAAGTTTAAAGGAAATCTAAATAATTAAATGTTTTTCAAACGACTTTTTTCGCCGTACGGATTTTCCGATTTAATAATCTTAAAGACGATTAAGGTATTTATAGATGTTGCTTATTCATTTACGCGTATGTATAAAGGCTCTTTGATATATTACAAAGTACACAAGACTTACCAAACCATAAAAATCGTATAGACGTAAAAAAAATACCTGTTATAAATTCATTCTTATGAAAGTTAGGTTATGTAAAAAATTGAGGATGTACATTACGTTAAGTTTATCTACTCAGAATACTCACCACCTTCTCTCCCCATACTGCGCCTACATACAGCACGATATTTATTAAGATTTTATGGAGAAATTTGTTCTTCATCCCTTGTATATCCAACTTACCCCTCTTCCCTGTACACAGTATTGATGGTGCCAAGAGTTGTTCTGTATTTGATGGAGCCTTCGAGGGGCTGGGGGCCCTGGATGCGACTTTTGGCCACGTCGAAAGGTATGTTCACGCAGGAACCCAGGACCCCGGAGGTGAAACCGATCGCTATCTTCCGACCGAACTCCAGAATAGGCTCCTGTGGACAAATCTATAGATAATGATAGCGCTTTTTTTTTTTTAATTTTAAGTGATGGTTATGTAGTCTCCTGTAGTGAATACATCAGCTTAGTAAAAACATGTTCACACTAACGCCCGGTTTCTGATACACTGATCATCGTAGAAATTAATTAATCAGCTGTCAAATGGCTTGTCAAATGTCAATTGAGCTGCCAAAAGGACATTTCACAGCTGTTTAGTTAATTTCTACGATGCTCAGTGCTTCAGAAACCGTGCGTATGTTTAACAATTCATAATATTACTAGTTATGTATAAGCCAACCAGCTTAAAAACGCTCCCTACCTATGTATATATTAGATATTCCACGTGTGTTACTGCAGAGTCAAAACCCTCAAGTTTATGCAATGAAAAAAATTACAACGATTTACTTGCTCAGCATTAGGTTAATACAGGTATAGTGAGAGTTAATTACTTTTCCATTAAATAAACGGTGGGGTTAGAACATTGCACGAAAAAATATTGGGTTAATTATCGACTATGTTAGTCTAGCAAATGTAATAGCGTTTATCGTTGGCGCCAAATGTTATAACGGTCGTTAACTTAAATAGGCATTAAGAACGAAGTAGGTATAGTGGATATTTTGAACCACTAATGAAAACTTAAACGAAACGTGATAACATTTTAATTAAAAGTAATTTTCCCTATATATAGTATATTCCCGTTATTTATACCAATTGTCATTGATTGATATTTATTGTATTATCATGACATTATATCATTTTTGGATTTTCTATGTAATGTAAATAAAACAAAAATAATTCAAACTAACAAATTTTAGACGGTCATAACATGGTACGTACTTATTACGAAAAAGATTATTCCAAAAACGCTAGCAACTAGTTGGTCAGTTTAATAAATAAACCGCGTAAATTAGATTCGCGTTGGGAATAGTTTCGTATACTATTTTAATGATAAAGATACTCCTCATAATAAAAGCGTTGCTGAATAAGTAGTATTGTTGCTGAATAAGTAATATTGTATGAAAACGTTTTATAGATTAAAACGGTATTAATTATTCAACATTATTCAATTTAATTCAAATAATTATTCAGTTTTAAAATATTTATATCATAATGGGCGTCGGTTACTGAGGGAGTAAGGCCGACGCCCCTTGTGATGCGAGATCACAATAAAATATATGTTATCTATATTAAATACGTGAAGCGGAAACTTCAGCTCCTTTTATCAGAATGTCGTGTGGTAGATTTAGCCTAAATTATATATAGAGAAGTGATGAAAGATAACATTTATATTGTTTTATCTGAGAAGATGACAAGAGCGCTGGCAGTTCACCTTTTTTTTGAGTGATAACCACTGCCCATGGATATTTGCAACGCCCATAGGATGGCAGATGCGTTGCCAGCTTTTGATAAAGTGGGCCCCGGGTGCCTCACTCACCAGACGAAACGCAGAAGTACATTACGAATTCACGCCGCTCTTCTGTGAGGTCGTGGTACTTCCCCGGACGGATCTGCCCCTTCGTGCAACAGCGAAGACCGTTGCGTGGCCCTTCCCGCCGTTGAAACGTGTTATAAATATCTTCTATATTATAACATAAAAATCGATGTCAATCAATCCTTATGAACTCCCGAAACAACTGGACCGAATGATGAAACTTTCAGACAACCTCCGGATTAACAAAGAGGGCGGTCCTGTGAAGATTCGTAGCGGCTAAGACAACAGATTCAGACAAACCGGCAATGTCAAACATTTTATTATTTTGCTCTTTAAACCTTTGATGATGATTTAATATATACTTCGTATTTGTATATAATATCATTGTCAAGCATTTTTAAATGTGGTGAAAGAAAAACAATAACTTATTAAATTCAAAACTACGGTCGAATTTCGAGCCACGAGCGTAAGAGTATAATCATTTGAATGACAAGGACAAAGTACGGTACAGCAAGCCGTTGTTGTTCGCCCCATTATCGATATCTACATGAGCCTTAACAGCTTAGCACTAAAAACACCATTAGTCTGATTATAAGGCATTGCTGATATATATTCGAAATATTTCGGCCTTTATTTAACTTGGAGAAATCATTAATGGACACCTGGCCTCCCCGAGAGGAGAAGGCTGGGTTTTGTCAGAAATCGCGAATCGATTAAAATGCCATGATGTTTGTCAACTGCTCATATCAAGAGCAGCCTTTTCAGATGCCTCTTTCTGGACCACCACTGTCTATTCAGTGTCGCTGATGTCAGTGCTAACAGGGAAAGATTTCGTCCTATTTTAGTTGTCATGAATCAAGATACGACTCCAATACTCAGAAAAAATCCTGGCCCAAGAGAGATAGGCGGATGTACTCTATTGTGACAAATTAGATAAAACAACACAAAACTTTAGATGAATTACCTCAGGTTGACGGATGTTGCATGAGCATAGCAACCGATAAGTATGTCATATTAATGTATAAAACTTGATAAGATATTTATTTTCATGATCTGATGTAGATGAGAGTTACATATCTGGCAGTTAAGATGATGTAATTATTGTCCCTCAATTGGTTCCTAATGAGTTATTTTAAAATATATAGTAATTATATACTGATGTAAATAATATAAAATAAATTAATAATTAGTTCTACATGTTTTAATAATAATAATGGTATTAGTTAATTTTTTTGTGAGAATAATTACCATTATTGATTGTACATAAAATATGTAGTATTTAATCAAAAAGATTTTTTTTATAAATATTATCTATAAAAATGTACATTCCAAAATATTCCATGGTATTTAAAATATTAAGCATTATTTTTATGTTTATAGAAAAATCAATAGTGGATCAGTTCCTAAAGAGGATGATAATTCATTCTTTACATCCAACTAATATGTTATTATCAAAGACAAATAAGAATTTTTCAATACCTATAGTGTAACTTGGTTGTAGATAGAGAAAAAGCCAGTGACAACAACGTTATCATGTATTGTGATGTAGAGATCATAATCGCATAATAAAATTTATTTGTGGTTCATTATATAATAGTAATGATATGAAAAAGTAATATGAGACATAAGGAAGAGTAACTGGATGAGATAACTGGTATATGTCTTATGAAAATTAAAATTAATTCATGAAAATAAAAATTCTTGTCCAAAATACTAGTGGGGACAATTCTGCAAGAATATCTATAGATTGAAATTATATAAAACTACTTTTTAATTATTGACTATGAATACACATTGATAAATATGTACATCATAATATTTCAAGATTTTTTTTGTAATTTCCAAAACATTCTATGAAATGTGTGTCTGTGTCTTTATAATTATAAAATGTGCAACATATAATTCATATAAGACTGCTTTATTACCTCATATTCTGGGAGGTATCCTTTTATGCTATGGTAGAAACCAAAGTATACCATGTTGAAAATCCCATTCCTTGCCATTGTAGCTGACAATCCTTTATTGAGCCCCTTGGAACCAAGGCCATTATCTCTTACAATCTGCCTAGTCACTGACCATGTGCTAGGCACTTGACTTGCCAGAGCTTTGTTAGATTGCAAAGTTACTTTCACAACTTCAAATGGATTAACCAAAATAGCCTCCGTTATACCTGCTCCAAGGCCAGCTAAGGAAAATGTCTATAAAAAATATTATAGGCACTTTTGTATAGTGAAACAATGAGAAAAAATTAAAAGAAAAGCTATGTGTAGTGGTTTGTGTATTATAAATTAATTTTATAATTTAAATTTAACTTTACACTAGAAAATATAAAATTACCAAGTACCATTTAATAACTATTATTTCAATAGTAATATGAATAAATAATAATAAGTAGAAGTATATTAAAAGTAAATTATTAATAAAGTAAGATATAATTACACAAATTTAAAATAAAATAAATCTCACTAAAGGTGTAGGTGTGCTGGAGCCAAACATGAAAAACCTTTTGTATTGTTCAAATGTTGCAAATTTGACCGCCCGTTTTGGAGTCTCTGCTAAAATTGGTGGCAAAATTCCTTTCCAAAACGAAGTGATTCCTTCATATTTGTACATTTTCTTCATACAATCTATAATGCCATTATAGTAATGCGGATCAGATTTTTTTAAGAGCGAGTTCGTAGCTTGCAGTTGCAACCTAGTTTTAACCAGATCTAAGGGTTGCATTATACAGACTTCGATAAAGCCTGCACTTCCTCCTGCACCTACATGCATTGCAGCTTGTTTAATTTTTTTTTCAATTTCACTCATTGCTCTTGTTACTTGTAAACAAGCTGCACTCAAATACTGCCACACTATACCACCAAAAATTCACAGAATACTAAACTGTATAATGTGTTCACTCACTCGTATTATGAGATTTAATTTAAAAATAAAGATAATTTTAATTTTGTCACATTCTATACTTCACTTTACACTTATCACTTCAAGACAATGACAGTGACAGTGACAAATAAATAAACCATAATAATTGGTATATAAAAACCGTAAAACTTTTATAGAACATCCTTATTGTTATATTTTGCATTGGCGACATTTCTGTGATCGGACTGATAGCAATACTGTGATGTATGTCAAAAACACTTCAAAAAGCATTGAATGTGTTGTTTCGATTATGTTTTCGTCTATTCAGAAAAAATATCTTTATATTGTTTGTTCCGGAAATAGCCAAATACCAAAAAGCTATAACAAAATTCAAAATATGTTAAAACCCCCCAATTAATTCTTTATTAACTGTGTGAATATGTACTAATATAACCGATGTTAATAAAGACTGTTTTCGTATCTGCATTTTCATTCAAAATGGCAGTAAAGACGAGAAATTTGCATTTGGATATAAGCTGATGTGAAATATGAATATAAAATTAAATTGACTGTGTTGAGTGAATGTGAGTGAAGAGTTGTTTAAATGCTGAAGTGTGGCTATAGCGTCTACGATGGGCTCGCAGACTTTGGAAATTCTGCGCCAAGGTGTTTGGGCATCGCTGACAGGTGGCTGGTTTTATGATCCCCACCAGAATTTATTCTGCAACACTGTGCATTTGTACATCTGGTTGTTCTTACTATGTCTGCCATTTTCCATTTACCTGGTAAGTGTTTTATGACAAATAAAGTCTTCCTAGAATCTAGGTTAGAAAATGAAATCATAACATAATCAGGTCACGACTTTATAGTTGTTGTTATTGTTTCACTTACAATAGGAAACATGTCAACATGTAGTCATTGCCCTAGTTATGAATTTAAAACAGAATGACCGAAATTTGATCTATCAAAGAAATATCAATCAATCTTTATTATTTATTTATTATTGTCTGTATAATTGCTCAAATATATAATAGATCATATTACCTTATTTTACAAACGCATTAAAATTTTATGAAATTAGTTAAACTTTTTACTCCATGTAAAACTATTTCACATTACCAAAATATGTATTAATATTTTGGTAATGTGGAATAGGTATATAGAACTTAAGGTAGCTAGTAAGATCAAAAAAATACATTTTATAGGCATGTGTAAAATGTTTTAGTTACAGTGGCTGTCAATAATTAAAAAATTCTTCATATCATTATACTTTTTCTAATAGCTTTAAATAGCTTTGACACAGACTTGTTTTCGTTTTAAAACTTTTCATTTTTAATAACCATTATCTAGCAACTTTTGTTCTATAGATGTTATAAACAAGTAATTTCTTTCAAGGTGTGAGCAAGACAAAGCTATTTTAGTATTGCAGTCTTTTATTTTCATTACCTACACTTACATATATTACTGGTTTATAACACAGTGCCTGCATTTATTTGACTTATACTGACTATTTTTTGGCTCAACATATAATTACAATTTGAGAGCAATGTATCTTTATTCATACTAAACCTATGATATAATTATGTTGCAATAACATATTATTTTGTACTATCCGAATGAAGCACTGCATCATAGCCTATATACAGCGTGTCGTTACAATCGCGACAATAAATGAACACACGTCTAACGCTACTTGCCAATAATCATAAAAAAATATTAACGTTAAACAAAATCGATAATTGAAAAAAAATATTTTTCAAATAAACTAATTAAGTAAAAAATAAACAAAATTTGTAACATCCTATACAACTCGCGCCACAGCGTCGCATTACAAGCCTCTCCTTCTAACAGAATGTTTTGTATCTTTTAAATTCATTCAACCCATTCATATGCTTTGTGACCTTTACAAATGAACTTTACATTACAGTTTTATACGTAAGGTTGTTCTAAAATAGTTTGTTTTGGAAAATGTAATAACTCGGTAAATATTGATGTTTAAAGAATGTAAATGTTTAATACAATTTTAAAAAGTTATCCTCTATATGTGTGTTCATTTATTGTCGCGGTGGTAACGACACGCTGTATATATATACATACAGTGTGTCGTACAGCAGCAAAAATAACTTAATAACTTATTAAAAGTGTATTAAACATTGACATTCATTAAACATCAATATTTGAAGTTATAGAATTTTCGAAAACAAACAATTTTAGAACAACTTTACGTATAAAACTGTAACGTAAAGTTCATTTGTAAAGGTCACAAAGCATATGAATGGGTTGAATGAATTTAAAAGAGACAAAACATACTACACTTACGGTGGTAGGGCCACGCAGCAGCCTCGGCTGTTGCACGAATGGGCAGGCCCGTTCGGGTAAGTACCACGACCAAGAAGACCGGCGTAAAGTGGAAGTATGACAAATACTTTCGCGTTTCGTCTGGTGAGTGAGGTAGCCGGAGCCCAATCTTCAAAAGGTTGTCAACGCATCTGTAACCCTCGGGTGTAGCAGATGTCCATGGGCGGCGGTATTCACTTACCATAAGGTGAACCATCTGCGTGTTTGGCAACTTTTCACATAAAAAAAAAATACTGTTAGAAGGAGAGGCTAGTAATGCGACGCTCTGGCAACGAATGACAAAGTCTCTGAATGTATGAATCAGTCAGTTGTATAGGATGTTACAAATTTTGTATCTTTTTTATTTAAATACCTAGTTTGAAAAAAATTTTTTTTAATTATGGTTTTTTTTATCATTATTGGCAAGTAGCGTTAGACGTGTGTTCATTTATTGTCGCGGTTGTAACGACACGCTGTATAACATAATTACAAACAACAATAATTATAAGTAGTAAGAATGTTTAGTCTATTGTCATTTGTACACTTTCAGTATTTCCCCCCGGCAAGCATAGGTTGGATAATTTATTGTGCCCTGGTAGCCCTACTATTTACATGCCTGAAGCTGTTGAACCATGGCCTGCACCACATGTATGACACAAAGGAATGCATAATTGTCCAGCCCACTGGAGATCCAGCAAATCCTTATGATGGAACTGCGTGAGTATTTGACGTTGCTCAGAGCCTTAATTATCCACTTAATAAAATTGTAAAAATCCACTAGACATATATCCTCGATGACTCCATGTCGCCGGTGCGAAGCTATTGTCTTCGGCGTTGGGGTACATGGGTACAATGCCCACATGGGACAAGTATTTGTGTGACCCAATGATAATTGTTTCAGATCTGGGTGTGTGTCCATATGAAATTTATGTATGGAAAGTGTCCTTACAACACAGGATAATGTAATCCCACACTAAGGGGGCAATGTTTTTGAAGGGTACTTCCCTTCAAAAACATTGATACAATAGATTTCCTAGGTTGATAGGTTTTTAATTTCTTTTTCAGGCAAGAAGAGGGTATGGAGATGATGAGGTTAGGGGTGGCTCTAGGCAACACAATGGAGAATGACAATGAGTCTGTAGTATCCCTGGAGTATCACAAGCCCAATAACAGCACCATAGGTTATCTTTTTAAAACTTCTCTTTTTAAAACTTCTAACTAGTTAAACCCATGTATTAAGTATTTTGTCTTTTTACACAGAATTAATGATTTGATAAAATTTTATGGTATTATATTTCTTTTTATGATCTTTTAACCAAAAGGCTTAATATGGTATACTTTTATTTATCTACTAGATACACACTGAGCTATCACAGCCCAGTGTCCGGGCTTTCACTTTTAATTCAATTTACTCAAGCAAGCTGAGCTCGATCCCCAGTGCCAGCACCAATGAAATGCTTAATTATAAATGCTGACTTATCACATGCTCATTGGTGAAGGAAAACATCGTGAGGAAACCTGCATATTTTCGATATCTGAGTATATAAGTCCGTTAATCCGCAGTGGGGTCGCGTGGTGGACTGTGCCCTGATACCCTCTTTACAGAGGAGGCCTATGCCCAGCAGTGGGACATTTATAGGTTGTTACTTTTATTTTTACTAGATAGACACTTTCAGTCAATAATAAAACTAGGTCCTTACATTTTAAATTAATAAAGTGAATCGTCTTGTTTAGGGATTCCATCCGAATGCTTAGAATGTCTGAATCAATGGTTTACTATTTATTTTAATATTTACAGACCTCAAAGTCGACGTCCACCGCAAGAACAGTTCGGAATCCAGTATGGAGGATAGTGTTGCGTCGTCTAAACAACCCGAAGCTGTCGCGACGACAAAGTCGGACCTGTGCGTTAGCCAAATCTCAGAGACGGCCGGACCTACTAAGGTCCGCCCGAATCACAGGGGCCGCTCCAAGACGGGTAACAAGCGGGAGCACAGAACCAAAACTAGGAGGACGCACGCCAACAGGATCGACGAGCTGATCGTAGAAGAGGCCAGGCATCAGATGTTCCTGAACAATGTGCCCGTTCACATGCTAACAGAAGACGGCCCCTTCGCGAAGGTCAGTCGAAGATACCAAGAGTGCCCGCACCGCCGTGGCACCAGTAATAGAGACTTCTTCAAGGAATGGCTATATTTAGACGCGAGGGATACCAACGGCGACCCTTACAATCCGAACGTAGCGCGTCAACTCAGCTCGGACTCTAGAGACAACTCGGAGCCCAGCGTAGGGCCCCCTTCGCCGAAGAAGAGGACAGCGCACAGGCGAAGGTACATCAACTACCCGGACGAGAGCTGCACTAAATCGGCAATGGCCTTGGCGACGCAGCCGTGCAACATGAGGCGGAACTCCAATTCGACAATGTCCACCATTCAGCTGCCACTCTTGAACTCCACGGCGCAGCTAGTCTCCCACATGAGGAGGCACTCGAACAACGCCGATACGGGATTCTTCGCTAGCGTCGAGCTCGGGGAATACATGATGGTGAAGGCCGAGCCACCAACGTGTAACACCGAGAAAGCCAAAGGCAAAAGTCCAGGTGTCAGACGGATAAAAAGCGCCGCTCTGGAAATCGGTTGCCCGCCCCCCAGCGTCTCCAACCTGTCGCCACATCCGAATAGCGCCGAAACCATCGGCGGTCAGGTCCTGAAGAATCCGAAGAACGCGGTCATCCCGCCGCCCAGCAAGAGTCTGACGCGCGGCCCCCATCTAAACCTCTACCCGAAAAACGATTCGGGCGAGGGCTGCAGCTACCCGTACCTAACGTACGGATCGGAGATCGTGTACCCGATAGCGGAGATATCCGACGAGATGCAGACCTCGCAGAAGGAGACAGACCTGGACTCGAGCGGCGACAGCTACAGCGATTACGAGGACGAAAAGCAGTTCCGCGGCTTCGATTGGGACGCGGAGCAATCGCCGGCCGTCCGCTCCAGCGACTCCGATTACGAGAACAACGGGTCCAGGTCACCGCTGCTGGACCGGGCAGCGGACGTCCGCATAGTTCGCTCGAAACACCACGGCGAAAGCAAAAAGCACTGCTGCGAACGGCACACGAATGCGAAACACGGCCCCGAGTGCCCGAACGACAAAACAAAACACGTGAGACTGAAAAAACTCACCAAGAACGAGCACTACGAGAGCAAGCGCCAGGAGAGACTGAACGCGTGCGAGTGTAAATATAACCAGAACGGCGATTACTTCGACAAGGCTAGCGCCAGTTCGAAGGACTTGCTCATAGAGAAGTCAAGCTTAGAGTCCAATGACAACCCGGAACTGGAGAAGAAAACTGATGATGCGAAGATCGTCGAGAAGAAACTGTGGGACAACGATATATCTAATTCTAGCAGTAGTAGTGAAAATAACTCTGACAAGATAGCGGATGACAATAAGTATGATAAAACTACGGTGCCTGAGACGGAGGAGTCGCAGTTGACATGCGACAGTAAGAGCGCAGACGAAAGAAGCGTGTATAGCTTAGATTGGCTTTTCGAAGAAGCCACTCAGAATAGCGCAGTGTGTTCGAAAGTAGGTGAAGCGTGTGCCGTCCAAGAAGAGGCAACTTGTCAAAAAGTTTCTAACGCTTTAGGGGAGTCCTCCTCCAACGTTCCAAAGAATTTAGGAGCAATACCAAAGCAAATTAAAAACTTAGCTCGTTCTAGAGCCTCGTCACAGAAGGAGAACAAGAAAAGGGATAACAGGAAGGAGAAAGATGAGAATCAAGAAGAGGATCGTATTCTACTAGACGCAGTGGAAGCGCAAGCGGCGTTAGTGCAGGGCCTCGAATGCTTATTTGCAGCGACCAATGCTAATACGGTCGTAATGCCAGCCCCAAGCAGAGAAGACAGATCTAGGAGCCACCGGCAAAGCATCCGAGGCGAGAGGGAGAATTCGAACAAAACGAGAAAGCGCTCAATCGAGGAAGTAGCACAAACGTCTACAAACACATTGCTTCCGACATCGATGCCGCTATTAGCAGCATTCTTGAACTCAAGAGTGGATTTTATGCCTTGTTGCGCTAACGACAACGCTCCACCGGAGCTCGTGCAGTACGCGGAAGAAGGCCAAAGGCTCAGACCCCTCATGGATAGGAATCATAGAAACCGAGTGAGGAAAATCAAACGTTCCACGCGGCAGCGCAACAATCCCTCCTCGCAGAATAGCAGCGAGAAGAAAGATAAACCGCAGGCATCGGAGAATCCGAATAGTTCGACGAACGTGCACTTTGCGACCTCCTTCGAGGACACGAGCGACGGTGCAATACACAGGTTTATGGATGAATACGGCAACTGGATGTCGTACACGTTCGACAAGAACAGTTCTGGAAGAGCCCAACCACAGCCTGTAACGGGGCCGGACAAAGAGGACAACGCAAGGAATAGCAGAGTGAAACCGGTGGATGTTCCCGATAACTCGCAGGACACAACCGGAGAAGGCAGCTGCGGCTCTCTCGAATCAGAAGCGGGGAACAGCGAGATTGTTAGCAAAACGAAACGGGGCGACAGCATTGACTCGTCCAATCAAGGCAGCAACAACCCCCTACTGTCTAGCAATAACAACGTGTCGACCGTAGTACCAATAAATACTAACAGCACTAACAAACGCTTCTACGTCTTCGACGGGGGAACTGGTAGCGACCAGCCGAGGTCCCCCGTGGCGTATGTGACGGATAGTTTATTGGAACAGATCGAAGCGGAGAGGCAGTCGCGAATGGGCTTGCCCAGCATGCACATCAACTTCTTGATGAGCCAGCAAAGGGCCCAACAGCAGTCGCAGCAGCAGGCCGAGAGCTCGTCAGCACACGCGCCCAGCCTCATGCCCTCGATAGGAGAAGAGGCAGTAGACTTAAACATTAGGAGTAAGTTCTCGAAGCTCATGGACGACATCGAGAAAGCGAACCAGCCGAAACCAAAGAGCTATTACAAGTTCAAGCTATCGAAGTGCCTCGAGGTCAAAGTGACGATGGACAGGCTAAAACTCATGGCGCTGTTCGACAGGAATCTGACGTTCAGGGAAACCTCCGTTTCGATATTGCTTGCGATCACCGTTGCGGTGCTCGGTTCGATGGTGTTGAACCTTGGCTTCTACAAAGACATCTACGCGTTCTGGTTCTGTTTCATAATGGCCGGCAGCCAGTACTCTTTACTGAAGAGCGTTCAGCCTGACTCTGCGTCGCCCGTCCACGGTTTCAACAAAATGGTCGTGTTCTCGCGGCCCGTGTACTTCTGCTTGTGCACCGCCATATTGTGCGGGGTACACAATCAGCTGGAGCAAATAGCCGTATTGGACGAGGAGCACTCGCGAAGCAGACGAAGCGCCGATGTTGTCGAACCGATGACCATTTACGGCTTCGAGTTGAACGAGCGGGATTTTTTGTACGTCGTCCAGGAGATCCTCTCGAAGTTTCTGCTTTTCTTCCCCCTAGCATTCAGCCTGGGCCTGTTCCCCCAGGTGAACACCTTCCTGATGTACTTACTGGAGCAAATCGATATGCACGCATTCGGCGGCAACGCCACCAGCAGCCTGAGCGCCGCGTTGTACTGCGTCGCCCGTTCCTTCGCAGCGGTGGGAGTCCTGTACGGATTCGCATACAGCGGCCTGATAGAGGGAAAGAAATCGCAGCATCAGAAGCACAACATTCTATTCTCCATCTTCTGCGGCCTCCTTGTCCCGATTGCGTACCATTTAAGCCGCAGTGCCAGCGACTACAGCCTCATATGGAACCTGATAAAGAAGCACCTCTTGCCCCCGGAACTCTACGTGATACAGAACCCAGACGGCTCCCCTGATTCTGAGAAGGTCGAACCGAATCCGCTCGGCGACGATAAAAAGAATAACTCGGAGAGCAACATCTCGAAGCAGAACTCCATAGGAAGCTCCGCGTCGAAGATCAACTTCAGCTCCGAGACGAACATCGCCAAATCGCAGAAGCGATCGCAAGCGTCCAGCGTGAATTCGTTGAAAATGGACCCGAGGGGCGATACTATGAATTCCACAAACTCTCTCAAAGGGGAGCAACCTACCGAGGCAGAAGAGAAAAATAAGGATACCAACCCAAGCTCCAACGCGAATAAGCAGGACGCTTCCGATAAAGCTGACGAAGATATGGAGGACCCGCTACCGAAGAAACTCCAAGCGACTGTCAACGCCAGGTTAAAGAATGACGTCATAGTATGCTCTTTCCTCGGGCTCTCCGTATTCGGCTTGCATTGCACCACTGTCTTCACAACACTGAGGCCCCAACTAAATACGGTGAGACTCATTTTTTATTTAGTATCGATTAAACCTTGACCATTCACAACTCGAATAGTCAAGCTTTTAACTCATTTTCCATCATGTAAAATCTTAACAGTAACAAACAGTTATAAGATAAACTCTCTCTTTCTCTGTCCGTCTACCTTCTGTTTCTTTATGTCTACCTTTTAGAGTTACAAGACATTAGGGCTTGTATATTCCGCTGCAAATTATATATATGTGTGTTGATATTAGTCTTTTTTATGTAAATTTGCATAAAATCTCTTCTCACAATCCTCATATCTTCTTCCGCTTCTGCTGAAGTACACTGTTCAATGACCAGCGCCCGGTTTAAAAAACATTTTTTGAGTTTTGAAAATGAAAAGAAAAAATTCTATTCTATTTTTGAAAAAAATTCTATTTTTGACTATGCCATGTTTATTTCCTTTCATAAACTATACTTTTATTGCAAAATAATTTATTATTTTGTATATATTTCACACCAGCCAGGCATTCCGCAATGGGTGATTTTAAGAGATCTTAGAATGTATATATTTTTTAAATATATGACACTACTTCATTAGGGAATGCGTGTAATATTGTGTTTGTGATGAAACCATGCTGTTAACTTACTGCTACTTGCTGTCACTTTCTGTTATAGCTTTAAATGCGTTCCGTCGCCTTCCAGGTCCTGTGGATAATAGCGGGTGTTTTGGGCTGGGTGCTGCATTACGTGACGCCGCAACTCCGCAAACAGCAGCCTTGGCTGTGCCTCGCCGGCCCGGTGCTGCGTCAGCACGAACACGCCCAGTTCGAGGTCACTGAACCCGCCCGGCTCATGCTGTTCGAGAAGGCAAGTCGGTTCCTCTCACATCGTTTCATTTGAGAACTGATTGTCCAGATTGTCCATTACAGTGGTAGGGCCAAGCAGCAGCTTCGGCTGTTGCACGAATGGGCTAGCTCGTCCGGGTATGTACCACTACCTCACAGAAGAGCGGCGTGAAGTGGAAGTATAATACTTTCGCGTTTCGTCTGTTGAGTGAGGAGGCCGGAGCCCAATTTCCAAAAGGTTACCAACGCATCTGCAACCCTCGGGTGTAGCAGATGCCCATGGGCGGCGGTATTCAGTTAACATCAGGTGAACCGCTTGGCAACTTTTCACATAATAAAAAAAAAGATGGGACTAACATCCAGTATCAATATTCCAACTATCTGTAGGTTTGGTTACTGGCAATAGGAATTCGACATTAGCTTCATATCAAGCTCATTCAAGAATTCCTATTGCTAGTAACCAAATCTACTGATAGATAGAATATTGAAACCGGTCTTTAATCTCAAGCTAAAGCAGCTCTTTAAGTGCAATTTTCCCCTTTGCTGTGTTCGCTTGAGTCTTCTATGCTTTTCGCTAGTATTAGTTTTTAACTAGAAAGAAAGAAAACATTTATTGCTCAAATACGCCACAAAAAACACACAGTAAAAAGAAAAGAAAAGTGGAATAAGAAATACTAAACACATCACACATTTTACGCACACAGTTGTGTGTGGCGTATACGGCAAACAGACCGCACTCAGCTTAATGCCGCAGTCTATACGAGACTACAGCGCTGGTTTTCAGTGGACCTGTGAATTAAGTGAATATGCGGACGTTCACACCATCATTCAAAGACTAATAATAATTAACATAGATTACATGAATGAACTAACTGGATCTAATGAAAAAAAAAAAGAAAAAGAATGTCCGAAACATTTTAAAAAGTATTGTTATCACCATAAGAGTCATATATACTATGAGGTATTAGTTGGAAATAATATAAAAGATACATGATAAATAATATAAAATAATGGTACCCTACAAAAAATATTTTCTCACAGGTATGTAATCATAACCATAATCTTAAGCAACAATATAATCATTAGAAATAATATTTTAATAAAGTCAATAATGATTGCACGTTAAATATACCTATACTCATATCATAGTTATAATTAATAGCATGAAAAAAAAAACTAATATTAGTTGTTCATGCAATACCACATCACCTTGATGGTCGGTTCATAAGACGTTTAGTTTCTACTTGATAACGGGTTTCTGAGGTGGGGTTAAAGTTACCGGTGACATATAATCATGTTTGATTTTCGCTTGCCTAAAGTCTTCTTGTTCCTGGAGTTTGAAAGCAGTTCTTGTTCATCTAAACGAAATCCCTTATCGCTCTTTGCAGATCTTCGTGTACCTCTGTTTCTTGGAGCGGAACGTCCTATATCCTGCAGTGGTTATCGCTGCTACTACTCAGGACGCGCCAGCAATCGCCGAGAAGTACGGTGACACCGTAGGCGCACTCATCATCAGCGTTTGCGCCTTGAAATGTGAGTCTTATAAGTAGTACTATTACTAGTACCCTTCGCTTCGCACGGTTGAAATGTAGATATTAATGTGGGGCAGTGTGAAGTGATTAATAATATTTTGATTATGATCAGTCTTATACTACAGGATATTTATATATACAATATTTACACCTGTTTTTTTCATGAGACAGTGCAAAAATATTTTCAGGGATACAATTCCAGACATTAGTTTGATCTACCTCGTAAGGTTTAAGCAGGTTTGCAGTATAAACACATAAAAATGCTAAAAACTTGTTAATAACAAAGTCAGGATTTTTGATTCTGCTGTTTATATACCTTTTAACTATGGTTTCCAGGTCTCAGGAACGCGTACTCGGAGCCAGAGAGCCAGTACTTAATACTGGTGTTTGCCGTCCTAATATTCCAACTGGACTTGGGCAGCCAGAAAATGTCAGAGACATTTCTCGTAGACTACTTCCTGATGGCCATTATCTTCAGCAAAGTCTACGAGTTTTTACTTAAGGTGAGTGGTGTCACTATTTTATCTTTTATCTTTTAACTAGCTTTTCGCCCGTGGCTTCACTCGCGTTGAAGCCATTTTCCAATTAAAAAATAGCCTATGTCCTTTCTCAGTCTCTAAACTATATGTGGTACCAAATTTCATTTAAATCGATTCAGTAGTTTTGGCGTGAAAGAGAGAGATTGAGGTATTCTATCTACAGATAGATTTTGTTACTAGCTTTGGTATTTGAAATGAGCTCCATAATACTTCAGTCAAAATTCTTTATCTACCACTATTTTTTCAAGCCCATGGTTGATATAGATAGAATGCCAAAAGGCATTAAGCTCACCCTTTGTAGTCCTTGTTTATGGTAATTCCAATAAAAAATGAAGAAAAAAAATGTAGAAAAAAATTAAGATTGTGATTTTGTTTAACAGGTGCAGTTCGTGGTGACGTACATAGCTCCATGGCAGATCACGTGGGGCAGCGCGTTCCACGCGTTTGCGCAGCCGTTCTCCGTGCCACACTCTGCCATGCTGTTCCTGCAGGCCGCCGTGTCAGCCCTTCTGTCCTCGCCACTCACCCCGGCCCTGGGCGAGTTCCACCTTCTTCCGTAAAAGAAAACGTTTCCTCTCGGCCACGCAACAGCTTCGGCTGTTGCACGAATGGGCAGGCTGGTTCGGAGAAGTACCGCCACCTCACAGAACACCGGCGTGAAGTGCAAGTGTTAAGTGTGCGTTTTGTCTGGTGAGTGAGGTAATCGGGTACCAGTTCATTGAAAGGTGGCAACGCGGCGATTATCACTTAACATCAGGTGAACCGCCAGCTTGATTGCCATTTCTTTACATAAAAAAAGATCAGGTGAACCGCCTGCTTGCTTGACCATTTTCACATAAAAAAGATGCCAACAAGGTACTACTTTGTCTTGTCTACATATGCCATAACTTGAACTAGCAGCACGTGAAAATAAAACGTGAGATGAGTAAAATCTCGCTCATGGTCAGTAACATCATTCAGTTAATTGGATCAACAAACTCTTCAGAGGTGACAATTAAAACTCAACTATAATCTAGTTATTGGCAGAGTTCACTGTTACTTAATTGCACTCCACTTGAAGAAACTAATAGGTAGTTTTTTTTTTCATTTAAATTTTATGACATAACACGAAAGGTTAATGAAGAAAATGTTTTACATATTTGCAGGCAGTGCGATATTTATGACGTCTTACGTGCGGCCCGTGAAGTTCTGGGAGAGGGACTACAATACAAAGAGAGTGGATCAAAGTAACACCAGGCTTTCATCGCAGTTGGAGAGAAATTTAGGGGCAGGTAATAATTTGTTCGTGTTATAATGTTTATTATGTTATTTCATTCATTCATTTCATCACTTTATCTAAATTGTCGTTTTTCTAAAGACTAGGCTGCATGTCATATGAACCTTTGCCTGTTCGAAAGGACGAATGTAAAAGTTAACTTCATTTGGTCGTACTTGTCATTTGAGATTGCCGCCGGTTCGAATTGACATTGGATAAATTAGTTTTTGTGGATCTATTATCTTCGACCGTGCATGGCTAGAGGTTGAAATCAGAACACATTCCTGGTCGTATTATTTGTGATTGCTGTCTGGGAAACTCTGGCTGGATTTGTTGTCCCTTGTGGTGGATGCTGAAGGCATAGGTGGCTGGCAAGCCGGTCTGAGCTGCTGCTCGGTTGAATGTTGTTTTTTACCTCCAGTTGGTCTCCTACATACCCCCCAACAGTGTGGCTGTATACACTACACTTGGCCTGGTTTTCTCTGCTGGTGCTGAGCTCAACGCTGACCTGTGCACACAGGGCAGGTGTCTCTGCATAGATTTAAAATAACTACCTGATTGGACTTTATTTTTTAAATTGAATTGCATAACTTTCATAATCTTAAATTAATTTAATTATCTAACCTTTTTATGGTCGCTCAAAGTAATGTGTAGGTCCTATGTACTCACGACTCCCTGAGATACTTAATTGTAATTATTACAACAGTCTGTTCCTAACAGACAAGGCGCCCAACTCATTATTATTGTTATATTTTTAAAAATATATTGTATCTGAGCTAGTCCAGGGATTGTAACTTTAAATTGAAGGGATGAATACAAATTCTTAACCGCTAATAAATCTTTTATTAAATCTTACCATCGTTAACTATAAACCCATCCCATTAAAAAACGTTACAGAGTGCCATACTTCCATAATTTTTCGTCGAATAATCTTTGCTTCTTATTTGTAAATCTCTTTCAGATGATAACAACCTGAACTCCATCTTCTATGAGCACTTGACCCGTTCCTTGCAGCACTACCTCTGTGGAGATCTTATGCTAGGGAGGTGGGGCCAGGTGCAACAGGGAGATTGTTTTGGTAATAATTCTTATTAATGTGGTTCGACTAATTCAAACTAATTTTTTTATTTCATAATTTAACTTCTACTCCATGTAAAATTCATAAGAATTCTTTGAAAGTAAAAATTGGCCACAGGGAAATCTAAAGCATTTTGATCATTATGTTGTATGTGCAAGACAATTTTACAAAAACCATTGAAAAACTATAAATAAAACATTAATATATGCAATGAATCTTAGTATAAAAATAATACATAAAAAATTTACTAAAATTTTTAACCAATTTGAACCAATTTTATTTTCAGTGCTTGCATCGGACTACCTCAATTGTCTGGTGCATATAGTTGAGATGGGAAATGGTCTGGTTTCTTTTCAACTGCGAGGGCTGGAGTTCCGAGGAACCTATTGTCAACAGAGGGAAGTGGAGGCTATCTCCGAAGGACCAGAGGAAAGCAGCGGTGAGCTATTATACTGTATTTATAAACAAACCCTCTTTTCGAAAAATAGTTAATGCTGCTTAATTAATAATTTATGACTGTCACTAACTGAAGATTAGAAGGGATATATCATGTTTTATTTTTAGATACTAAATATATGATCAGAGGTGTTCATTAATTTAAAATAATTGTGCCACGAGTCTTGCACAGAGCAATAGACCAGGGTATTGCTTACTGCCTGAGTTATTCATAGAGTAATGAAGTCGCTCAGACTGCCTACGGAGTAGTATACCGCACAGAGTAACGAAGTATGTCTAGTGCATACAGTAGAGCGGGTGATAGCGCATAGAGTAACGACGTCTATGTAGTGTGCAGAGTAATGAACTATGGTCACGAAGAAAGTGTACGACAGATCAGTACAGTGTGCCAGCGCACAGAGTAACGAAGTGTATGTAGTGTGCAGAGTAATGAAGCTTGTATGGCATATTACGGCATTGTATCGCATAGAGTAATTAAGTGTTTATAATGCGTACAGCAGATTTTTTTTGGATTAATGGACCGGTATCGAGGACCATTAGGCCACGTAACGAAGCGTCTGTAGTGCGTACGGCAGAGCATAACTGTATCGCACAGAGTAACGAAGCGTCTGTAGTGCGTACGTCAGAGCATAACAGCAGCGCACAGAGTAACGAAGTGTGTGTAGTGCGTACGGCAGAGCATAACCGTATCGCACAGAGTAACAAGACGTCGGCAGTGTGTACGGCAGAGCATAACCGTATCGCACAGAGCAACGAAGCGTCTGTAGTGCGTAGCAATAGCGCACAGAGTAATGACGTGGTTGCGCTTAGAGGGCGTGTGCGCGCGGTGGTGGTGCGGCGGGCGGGTGCTGGCGCCGGGCGCGTGCTGGGCGCTGCGCTGGCTCGCGTGGCAGCTGGCGGCCGCGCGCTACGTGCTCGAGGGCTACTCCGTCAGCGACAACAGCGCCGTCTCCATGCTGCAGGTGTTCGACTTCCGCAAGGTGCTGCTCACCTACTACGTCAAGGTGCGTCACGCTCTATCTCCTCATCACTATAAAAACAAAGTCGTCCCGCTGTCTGTCTATCCCTATGTATGCTAAGATCTTTAAAACTACTAAACAGCTCTTGATGCGTGTTTTTTTTTTACTAGATAGAGTGATTCAAGAGGAAGGTTTATATGTATAATACATTGCACCCATGCGAAGCCGGGGCTGGTCGCTAGTTCATAATAATTCTCGACGTCGCTTGTAACGCGTACCATTAAGTACCGTCAACTAAAGTCTTACTTCGTACTTACTTTTTTCTGTGAACGCAATTTTTTTTTATATTTATAACCCATTTGTTACGTGTCATCACTTTGCCTTTACACAAGATACAGCCAAAGATTATCTTTACAAGAATTATAAGAATAGAAGAATGAAAAATTTTAGAATTTGAGATACACCACCATTATCACTACTACCATATTTTAATGAAGTCATCATCAAAGTTTGTTTAACTAGCTTAGATGAATATCTAAGTCTTATGAGTGTAATTCAATAACGCCAGATTATGTGGCGTATATTACAACGTAAAATATAAATTATTATGGGCTTATAATATAAAAAATGGCGTATCATAAAAAAATTCTTACTTAACAATCCCGTTGTTCCCTACAGAGTATAATCTACTACACCATCCAGTCCAATAAGCTGGAGGAGTGGCTGTCCTCGCCGACGATAGCCGAAGCCCTGAAGCCTATGAGTGAACGCTCCTTCGTTGACCTGGACCCCATATTTAACGTCAACTTGGATGAGGACTATGACTTTAGAGCCTCGGGGATCACCAGGTAAGTCATAATGAAGAATATAACTTAATTTTTCTTATGTGAGAAGGTGACAAGCGAGTAGGCGGATCACCTAATATTAAGTTATAACCGCCGTCAAGTAAGCATGAATAGAGAAAAATTTGTGACAGCGTATTAAGGAACTTTTAATTTGTGCAGAACAAAAAACTGGTATTTCATTTTGTTCGTAACAGGTACATAAAGGTATCCGAGAAACCTGTTTCGACAAATATACCTCATAACCATTTAACAGTGCTTGTACATTAAAAAAGTTAAGATGTATCATAGTACATAATAGACATGACTGCATGTATATAATTATGTACCTCTTTATGAAATTAGTTGACGATCTGTGAGTCACAAAACCAATAAAGAAACAATAATGTGTCTAACAAATAAAAAGCAAATTTTTTTGTATATAAATAATTATCATTTTGTACTATTTTTTTTTTGTAAACAGTAGTATTTTTGCAGTAAGTATTCTTTTTTATCCAAATGACTTCAAAAAATATGAAATTGGAGAAAGTTTTATATGTGTGATTTTAAGAAATAGAGTTGTTGTCTACAAAGTTTAATTTCCAAACAAAAAAAGGCTGTCAGAAGTGGGATTCGAACCCACGCCCACGGCCATCCTGACTTGTGTTGATTGGCTGAAAATACTATTTCCAACTTAACTGATGTCTTAAATATACTTTCATTTGATTTTTAAAAATGTTCGTCTGCAAATATTCCGTATCTATAACTATACTTATTTGCATAACTATTCAGCGAGGAAATACAGCTAGCGTTCTTGGCACAATGCCACGTGGACTAGGTTGATTACATAATATTATTTAATGTTGTTGGCTTAATACATTGAATATTTAAAAATTATACATAAGATTTGCTTATTTGCTAATAAGATGATTTTTTTGTTCCTTTGATCAATTTAAGTAACAGATTACAAAAAGAACTTTTATTGAAAAATACTATTTGATGAACCATTAATTTAGCTTTTTCTAAAAAATTGCAAAAAGTCAATTACGTTAATATGAGTTACAGTACTTTATTGAATTTATATTCAAAATAGAATCACTGCCATTACTTCATTACTAATTCAAAGTCTGTTATTTATAAGTATCGGTATTTATTCATACGTATAAAGATAAATAAATAAACATTTTAGGCAAAATTTTTACAGACTAAGTAACGCTTGTACTGTGGGTACTAGATAACTAATAAACATACTAAAATATATTTTCTTTTGTAAATTAATACATCTTATATATAAATACCCAGACACTAGAAAAACACTATGATCATCAAACAATATTTATCCAGTAGTAGGGATCGAAACCACACCCTCTGGCGCAGGAGGCAGGTTCACTACCCACTAGGCCATTCGGGTTTAAAAATCATTTTAATATTTTTAACTATTTTTAACATAACACGTTGATTTCAGTATAACTGTTAAACTGGTACAATCCTTCCGTTTATACTGGCTCAGTACAATACGACCATTTAAGCTTGACCCGCGTCCACCAGGAGCCGGTTCTGCGCGGTGTACCAGGAGTGGGTGGTGCAGTGCGCGGCGCGGAGGGGCGCGGGCTGGAGGCGGCGGGCGGGCGCACGTGACTCCTCTCTGGTCACTCTGTGCTTCGCGCTCAGCCTCTTGGGCCGACGCGCCCTCGCGGCCGCCCAGCATCTCTCGGCCTCCAGGTACGTGTGGACTGCTTCGCCTGGCGTGCCAGCGTTGGCTGGTGCACGACCCTCTGGGTTGTTATTTTAATACGCCGGAACAATGCATTGATAACATACGTGTATATGTTTGTATAAAGTTTTTTGATTGAAACTGTATGTTTTTGAATTGAAACTTTTGTTAATTGTGATCCTGAGCTGTCTTATTTATTAAAACTTGATCAGATGCAGTGGTATTATCAGTCAGTTACTAGTTTTTATTCTTATAAACTCTCCATCACACGAGTTTTGCGTTCTATGAAAGTTCAAAGGTCTACGGACTGAAAGCAAAAGCTTTAATTTATACTAGGTAGTATTTAGCTAGTAAATTCTTTTTAAACTGTACCACTACTTTACAATTCCACAGCGTGGAGTTCTTTCTGTACGGCCTGCACTCGCTTTTCAAAGGCGATTTCCGTATAACGTGCGCCCGGGACGAGTGGGTGTTCACCGATATGTCCCTGCTGCAGTCAGTGCTGGCGCCAGCTGTTCGAATGGCGCTCAAACTGCACCAGGTTCGTGCTGTATTTGCTCTAGAAGGTGTCTGTATGTTTTAAATTTTGTTGGCCGTTGCTACGTCGCAATGTGGTCGTTATTTCTTATGACTTTTAAGTTGGTCCTTCGTGCCGGATCGGTTTTACAATTAAAACGTTCTTAGGTAGGAAAGGAAATAATAAGTTGTTTGTTTTAGCCATCGTGTATGACTTTAATTTTAATATCAATGATTAGTTAATTTTCCGATAGCCCTAAACTCTAATTACCATCATTACACGGGTTTTCATTTCATCAATTAGTTTGTTCACTCCAGTGGCTCTTTTCAAATTGATCTAATTACGGCCTAACGTTTATTGATACTTTAAGATTGAAAATAACATGAATTTTAAGGAACTGGACGAAACGCGAACAAACACGATACCTTGTGCGTAAGTATTACCATTTATCTTGTTCGCGTTGTTTCCGTTACACTCTACAGTGGGCGAATGGGTTTGAATGAGATATGTTGTGAGTTCCTTGTTCTCGGAGATTATCGCCGTGTTTTGACCAGAAGCTAACTAATAAAAAAAATTGACGGTGGTTGTACATAATAAAGCATACAAGCAAATATATAAGAACCGCAACCGCGTATGGTATAATTTTGTAAGGCGCTTAGCGCGTCAACACATCCGTTTTATTGGCAAATTTGTCCCCGAAACGCTATGTCGCTCCCGGAAGTGTCAATCGAAGGCAATTGCCAAGCGTGCCGCTCAAAATCAAAATCAAATGTCTTTATCCAACATAGGAGCATTACACCCGCTTATTGATAGTCAAAACACTACCACCGGTTCGGAAAAGAAAGCCACTGTACTGAGAAGAACCGGCGAAAGAAACTCAGCGGGCCTTTTTTTAAATAAACAGTTTGACATGAATTAATTACAAATACAATATAAGAACTGTGAATATTGAAAGAGCCTGGAGCGATCAGTTCATTACCAGAGTTTGTTATCATTTAAATAATCATTAATATTATAACAAACAAACAAACAAACAAACGTACTTTTACTTTTTTTGTAAATTTAGCTATTGATGCATTTTGAACGTTTTCTGGTATTTTGTTGTAGAAACGTATACATTGTCCCATAAAAGATTTACTTATTTTACATAGTCTACTAGTGGGTAGGATCAATTTATGTTTGTTCCTAGTATTTATATCAATCCCCCTAGTATTTATATCAATCTCCTTACTATTTATATCAATCTCCCTAGTATTTATATAAATTTCCCTAGTATTTATATCAATCTACCTAGTATTTATATCAATCTCCCTAGTATTTATATCATTCTCCCTAGTATTTATATCAATCTCCCTAGTATTTATATCAATCTACCTAGTATTTATATCAATCTCCCTAGTATTTATATCAATCTCCCTAGTATTTATATCAATCTCCCTAGTATTTATATCAAGCTCCCCAGCATTTATATCAAGCTCCCTAGTATTTATATCAATCTCCCTAGTATTTATATCAAGCTCCCCAGCATTTATATCAAGCTCCCTAGTATTTATATCAATCTCCCTAGTATTTATATCAATCTCCCTAGTATTTATATCAAGCTCCCCAGCATTTATATCAAGCTCCCTAGTATTTATATCAATCTCCCTAGTATTTATATCAAGCTCCCCAGCATTTATATCAAGCTCCCTAGTATTTATATCAATCTCCCTAGTATTTATATCAATCTCCCTAGTATTTATATCAATCTCCCTAGTATTTATATCAATCTCCCTAGTATTTATATCAATCTCCCTAGTATTTATATCAAGCTCCCCAGCATTTATATCAAGCTCCCTAGTATTTATATCAATCTCCCTAGTATTTATATCAAGCTCCCCAGCATTTATATCAAGCTCCCTAGTATTTATATCAATCTCCCTAGTATTTATATCAAGCTCCCCAGCATTTATATCAAGCTCCCTAGTATTTATATCACATTCCCTAGTATTTATATCAAGCTCCCCAGCATTTATATCAAGCTCCCTAGTATTTATATCAATCTCCCTAGTATTTATATCAAGCTCCCCAGCATTTATATCAAGCTCCCTAGTATTTATATCAATCTCCCTAGTATTTATATCAAGCTCCCCGGCAGGACCACTTCATGTTCCCGGAGGAGTACTGCAGCGCGGGCGCCCTTTACGCGGCGATAGCGTCGCACGCGCAGCGGCTCGTCATCTGCCACGAGGCGGCGCCCGCCTGGAGGCACAGCGTGCTGCGCGGCGCCCCTCACCTGCTGGCCCTCAGGTGGAATCTCCTGGAATATCCCCTCCCCCCACCTTCTTAATTAAGAACAACTTCGAGAGTGCCTCCCCTCCTTTAATTGGGGGCGCTGTATCCCCCCCTCCCCATCCCCCCGCTTCGACAGCGTAACAGTACGGATACGCGTCGTATGGATGTTTTTGTAAACATTGATATCGATATATTCGAAGTATAGATGTATCGCAAAAAAATTTAGACATCGACGCCGATAAATGTCGCGACATACTGTATCACAATCAATGAAATGACTCATTTATTCAATCTGTTTATAGACAATTTACTACAAATGGTATACATATATATCTCTCTCTCTCTTTTTCCGTCTCCCTCGATTCTAACTCGCGAAAATTTTCGTTTTTCCGCGCGTATTCGTTGAAGTTTTATATAATCACTGCACTGAAAACCTTAATTCTGGTACCGCAAGTCGCTCTTTTTCCCAGAAATTCTCCTTTTCCCTTCAGGCACGTGATGGACGAAGGCAACGATGACTACAAGATAATAATGCTGAACAAGCGCTTCCTCGGCTTCCGCGTGATCAAACTGAACCGCGAGTGCGTGCGCGGACTGTGGGCCGGCCAGCAGCAGGAGCTGGTCTACCTGAGGAACAGGAACCCCGAGAGGGGCTCCATACAGAACGCGAAGCAGGTGCGCTGGGGAGCGTTCACCACTTTTTACTTCAACCATTAGTCTCACACAGCTTGGGATAAAAGCATCGGGGGAGGGGTGGTTTGCATACGTCCTATATATATTTCTGGCAAAAGACACTCCCCCTCCCTCGCTTCTCTACGGGGAACTAAAAATCGACTACTACGTAATTCAATGCTTTTATCAAGATGTACGCCGGTTACTAATACTAACTTGACGAGCACACATAAACAAATACATCAACATCATCATTTCAGCCCAGTTTGAGTCCATTGCTGAAGTTAGGCCTGCCAGACCGCCACGTAGCTCGAACCTATATACAAAGGATTTTTTACTTAAGTCTGTGTTGAGAGGACGTTTACAAACATAAATTCCACGTGCTCAAGCGCCCAGACCCGAAACAAATAGTCGTCGCGTGTGGGAATCGTATCCCCTAATGATGTCGGATTGATGTACGGTTACACGTAAGCCTCTAGGTGAGGCGAATCGTACCGTGCACCGGCTAGTTTGTAATAACAGCGTCACCGCGTTTTACGGTGGTAGGGTCACGGAGCAGCCTCGGCTGTTGCACGAATGGGCAGGCCCGTCCGGGTAAGCACCACGACCTCACGGAAGACCGGCGTAAAGTGGAAGTATTACAAATACTTTCGCGTTTCGTCTGGTAAGCGAGGTAGACGGAGCCCAATTATCAAGGCTGTCGACGCATCTGTTACCTTCGGGTGTACCGTCTGGTCGCTTGGCAACTTTTCACATGAAAAAACCCGCCCTTTGCCGCAGGCGCTGCGCAACATAATAAACTCGTCGTGCGACCAGCCCATCGGCTACCCGATCTACGTGTCGCCGCTGACGACCTCGTACGCGGACACGTCGCCGCAGCTGTGCTCGCTGCTGGGCGGGCCCGTCTCCGTCGGCGCCATCCGACGCCGCCTGGCGGCCCTCTGGCGGAGGTCTGCTCCTTGGCTAAAGACGGGTTTGCTTGGCAGGTGTTCAGCTGACCGCGGTCCACTTCGCTAGAGGTGGCCATCCGCTGCCCTTTACGTGCCGTAGATGGTGACGCGCTCGATTGCCAATTTTTTACACACTATGATATATACGATGATTTTTAACACACCTGTTAAGGTTATTCTTATGTTGTGGAGGTGATTCTATCCTCCATTTTAATTAAGCACTTACATGAGTTTTTCACTTTCTATTTGATTATTTAACTGAACGATACGTTCGACGCAGTCTTTGCCAAAGACATTGTAGTATACATAATTACGGAAACCTTATAAGCCACAATGTCTGCGTTAAAAACAACGTATCGTTTATACTACAAACACACATAAGTATATAGAAGGCGAAGAAGGAAATACAAATTAAAGGCTACCTCTAGTACAAGAAAGAGACTGATTGTTATATGCATCAATGACAGTGATAACTGGTCTATTGTTTTATATGAGTAGTGCCATTTGTGCTTAGTGACAGTTGTACACGCATTTACAAACTCTCAGGCGTTGCAGATGTCCATAGGCCGCGATATTCACCTACGTCAGGTGAACCGCCTGCTCGCTTGAAAACTTTTAACATAAAAAACAAGAGGGTAAGACAGTGAATGTTTCAGGGTGCGTCGGCGCTGCGGCGAGGGCTGCTCCAGCGGCGGCGCCTGCGAGGCGGGGGGAGGGGTGGAGGCGGGCGTCGCGAGGGGCGCGCAGCAGCCGCCTGCCCCCGCGCTGCAGCTCTCCAGGACCTCCCTTGGTGAGCTACGCCTCCCTGCTCCCACTACTTGTCGAACCACGCGTCCGCTGTGTGTATCTCGCCTCTCTGCTGCCACTACTTGTCGAACCACGCGCGGCAAGATTGCCGCGTCCACTGCGTGCGATTCATTGCCACTATTTTCTGAACACCGCGTCTAATCTGTGGATCCCGCCTCCAAATCTAAATTAATAATGAAATGTTTATTTATTTAATATAGAAGCATTATACTTACTTATTGATGCTACACTACTTATCGAACCACTGTTTCTGCCACCTTGTTTTTCGTGGGAAACATAATTTATGGACCCTCTGCCACCGGTTCAGGGAAGTGGCGGATATATGTGTGATACCCGGTTAGAACGGGACAGGCTGCCGACTAGAACAGTGCACCTGTCTCTGTCGCATCGATATATCCAATTTCGGTATACCGTATAGCCAAAGTGGAAGTCCAAGAGTCCGTTCTGAACCCTTAGCCGGGACGCGGGGCAGCCTGGCCAGCGCCGGGAAGCCCACCTCCTCGACCCTGGCCTCGCTCGCCGGTCTGCTCAGGGAGCACTCGCATGAAAGGACCCAAGAGGAGAGCTGTGAGTCGCACCCTCGAAGTGTCTTCATTCTATATAGGCTTAGCTTAAGCTCTTATAAAAAAAAGTTTTTTTTGTTGGTATCCGGGGGGAAGCCTTCGTAAACTCGTTATGTGGGGTTCTTACCCACTAAAACCCCCTCGGTGGCCGCCTTCTGTACATTTGGAGGGACCCTGGCATCACGTACGGAACACACCGGTGAGAAGGATAGACAGAACAAACAAACTACCACCGGTTCACTAAACTAGACCTGAACAGAAAAGAACCCGTAACAAACTCTGCGGTCTTGATAACCTCGATATAACTATCGATACTTGATAACGCTGTGTTAGAGTGAGTCTTATAATATTTCAAATTTAGACTTGATTTTTCTCATCCCCCCAGTAACCCTCAATGTATTTTGTAAAAAAAAAACTGATGAAAAGACATTAAGAAATTTTTAATACATTGTTTTTCCTTGTAATGTGCGTTTCATACAATTATGTGGAGAAATTTATTCTGTGTCGAGATCGTACGCGAACTAAACGCATTTTATATTTTTTTATATCGATGTTCAGTGCTTAACTGCTTAATTAGTAGTGATAAAACGTAGTCGCATTCCGGCCGTCAAGCGCGCCGTACTAAACACATCCCCCTACCGAAAGCGTCGCGTTATTAGGTGAAGAATGCGTGAGTAGGTTGTTAGCTCATCGACGGCCGGTAGCAGTGTGTGGTGCGTGCGTGCTTCATATTTGTTGCTGCCTATTTCAAGGATTGAGCATCATTATATTGAAACTTTTTCGGCTAGGTGGGTATGTCACACCATCAGCTTTCGTCAGCCTGGAGAGCGCTGAGGCCAGACGCCGCAGCGAGGAGCGCGGGGGGCGCAGGGAGCGGAACATGCGCGCCAGGAGCCAGGTTCTGTTCCCACTACACAAATCGTGTCCCACTGCTGGGCAAAGGTTTAATTTTCAAGCCATAGTATATCAGCATTATCTCCCAGCCAACCTTGGACATACGTCTATATAATTATTTATTTGACGACTCCGTGGCGCAGTTGTCAAGGTGTTGGCTTCGGCGACGGGAGTCGTGGGTTCGATTCCCGCACGGGTCAACCATTTTTAAAACCCACACATAATTGTTTCGGATCTGGGTGTTTGTCCACGTGAAATTTATGTTTGTAAAACGTGCTTAAATCACGGGATCATGTGATCATACGGTAAGGTACATTATCTTCAAAAAAAAAATTCCAAGCATTCTATTATTGAAATATAAAAAAAAATATATGTTCACCACGACGGATTGTCGGCGATGGCTGCTCATGTAACGGATGTCCGTCCGCAGCCGGGCAGCCGCAGCCACGCGCGCCGGGAGAGGGGCGCCGCCTCGTTCCGGCTGCTGCCCAAGGGGGTACCCGACGGGGCGGGCGTGGGCCCCACGGCGAGCGTGGGGCCCATGGCGGGCGTGGGGCCCATGGCGGGCGTGGCGCCCACGGCACACGCGGGGCCCACGGCGAACACGGCGCACGCCGACGAACAGGTGCGTCCCGAACGAGTCGACTCGATCCGTCGTTTTCTGTCCTTTAGCGGCGGTAGGGCCCGTCCGGGTAAGTACCGCGACCTCACGGAAGACCGGCGTCAAGTGGAAGGGTAACACTTTCGCGTTTCGCCTGGTGAGTGAGGTGGCCGGAGCCCAATTTTCAAAAGGTTGTCGACGCATCTGCAACTTTCGGGTGTAACGGATGTCCATGGAAGGCGGTATTCACCTAACATCAGGTGAACCGCCAGCTCGTTTGCCACTTTCTCACGTAAAAAAATGTAAAAATTACTTAGCCAAATTATGTAAATGAAAATTGGCTTTTAAGTTTTATTATGTAAGTTAAGTATTTACATATTTGTAATTAAGTATGTGCTGAGGGTTTTGTATCAAAATAAAATTAACATTCCGTAAAATTCGATGACTTCTTGACGCAGCTGTCTAGGTATTGGCTACGGCGCCGGTGGTCGTGGGTTCGATTCCCACACGGGAAAATAATAAATAAATAAAGAGAAACCGGTCACGTAAGGAAAAACCGTTATGTGCCCTTGACGCAGCAATGACGATGATAACATAATATAAAGGTAATGGTGATGGATGAATCACGATATCAGGCATCACAACGGGGGGAATTCCCTAAACATAAAATACGAAGAATGAAGGGGTATAACCACCAAATTGTATAATAAATTTATTTCGTCCGACCAAGGCCTATATTTTACTAGCTGGCCCGTGCAACTTCGTCTACGCCAAATCTACCGGGTCCATACGTTTCGTCTTTTAATATAGCGCCATCTATTGGATACTTCTCAATCCGATAAATTTACCTTACACCACCATCTGTTAAAATCTTATGAATAAAAATAAACAAATAATTTGCAATAAAATTATATTGCGACTATAAATTGAGATTGGGAGATTGGAAACTATCCTACCCACCCCAGACGACTATTTATAGGACGACCCCCCACTAGATGGAGTGACGACCTGTGCAAACGTGCGAGAAGTCGATGGATGCAGGTGGCTCAGGATCTTACTCCGTGGCAGTCTGTGGAGGAGGCCTGTGTTCGGCAGTGGGCTCAAACAGGACGAAATGATGATGATGATGAAGCTATCCTATCTTTCAAATTGGATCGAACTGCACACGGTGTGGAAATTTGATTAAAATCGGTTAAGTAGTTTAGGAGTCCAAACAACGTGACACGTAATTTATATACAGGGTGGCCTTTCTAAAGGTGCCCAAATTCACACAGGATATTCAGACTCGGTAGTATAATTGTTTATTGAAATAAAAAAAATTTAAAAATTAAAAAAGTTTAAAAATTAAAAATATAAAAATTTTTTTCTTTTCAAAAAAAAATTGTCATTTCATTCTCTAAAAGACAGAACTTGTTGACAATGCGGTAGTCATTCATAAATTCGTCGTATACTTTTGAAACGAACTGTATATTAAGATAACTCCGGCACTGAGTTGATATCATGTTATTCATCTCTTGCCTTCCCCAGGGGTCGAACGGCTGGGAATGCGGATGGCGGGAGCAGCCGAGGAGAGCGCTCAGCGCTAAGGTAAGATTGGCGATTGGACGAATCCGGTCCGAATTGTTTTCGCTTACCAATTCGTAGCTCTTCGTTTCCCCGTTTGAAACTCGACGTCCTTATGCGAATTCGGAATTTAGTGTCTTTTATTTATTTATTTAAAAACTTTTTGCACAATAGTGTACGATGGGGGATTTGTCACCATTAGGTGTTCTTTACCAGTCAATCGACAAATAGAGAATTGTGTTACATGTTTAAAGATAGCAAGGGAGCAAGCGGTTCGCCTGATTTCAAATGATGCACCCCAGAGACATCTACATTACTTTAGTGAATGCATATGCGTTGTAAACTTCCAAAAACTGACATCCGTTTTCTGGAACAAACAATCAAACATTTAACTTTAACGATCAACTGAATGGCACCAATACCACAGTTGAACAGTTGAACAGTCCTACCACAATTGAAGAAATAAAACATAAGCAGAAATAATTGAAATATATCCGTGGTTCACGCACGTCGGCCCTGGTCAATAGATCGATATAGAATTGCAAACCCTGAGCTTTGTAGCATGTGTATACGAGAGCCGACGTGGTGGCAGGTGGCAGAGGCGGACGGGGCTGGGGCGGGGGACGCCGATGGCAGCGTGACCTCCTCCATGGAGGAGCTGCAGATGGTGAACGGGCTGGACCTCTCGCTGCCCGACTGCAAGATCATCGCCAACAGGAACGCCAGGCAAGAGCCTCACCAGGCCAGGTAGACCCCAAGCCCATCCGTCGCCGGCCATACGCCCCAGGACTACTAGGAACCTCAACTCTTACCTCCTGGATACTGAATTGGGGTTTTATGGTCGTCCCATAAATTTACTACTCACCTCTTGGGGAATGGCCGAGTGGAATGAGTTCAGAAAAAAATATCCCAAGTCAGAATATGTTTAGCACACTTCCCAAAGGCTATCCATTCATCCATCCAACTACAGACCATGCCCGGTTCCTGTATTCAACGAACGGCCGTTAGTTAAATAGCTTCGTAACTTTCATAACGACTTGTAGATAAAAGACGAGTACGCCCAGTCCCTTTATTGACAAAACGAGGCGTTTTTCTTACGAGCCGTTGCATTACCTACGAATAATGAATTACTAGCGTTCTTTTAATCTACAAGTCGTTATGAAAGTTACGAAGCTATGTAACTAACGGCCGTTCGTTGAATATAGGAACCGGGCATAAGAACGTGTTCGAGATCTTTTGGCGATCATCCGCTGTGCTTATGCAACAGAAATCGATCCCTAACCATTTCATGTTTCCTTTATTTTCATTATGCGATATTTGTTCCGGCTACATATAACATGTTATTGTGTAAACCAAATTTAATCTCAATAATTTTGGTTTACATCATCTGGAAAGAATGACTTTATAGCGCCGTTGCTAGGTTACCACATGGGACAAGTATTTGTGTGACCCAAAGATAATTGTTTCACATCTGAGTGTTTATTCTCCAAGGAAGACCCCAAAGCATTCACATTATATCAACACAATAAATAGATTCTGACTGTGTATCGTTAAGCTTTAAATTCTTTTCAAGTTCACCGTTAGCCGATAGTGCCATAAGAAAGTTTTCATCTCCATCTTAAATGATGACACTATGCTCCTCCTCCGCAGGTACTTCTTAAACGAGAGCGCCTCGAAGGACCTCTCGAAGCTGAGCAAGGAGATACGGCACGAGCGCGAGAGCTACCGCGAGCTGACCGGCCGCTATATAGAGCGGTCCGAGGCGGCGGCCCTGAGGGACCCCCACCCCTCGGAGCCCTCCAAGGAGCCCAAGGAGGCCAGGAGGGAGCCCCGCAGGGAGCCCAGGCCCAAAACTAAGGACAGGGGTGAGGAGAACCAGTCCTGCGTATAAAGAAATGTGTGTGTGTACCGAAGAAGTTACACATTCTTTAGTGTGACAAAAGAAAAATTACTAAATGTGAGAAAGACATTAAATGCAATTAAATTCGTAGGCGTCAGCTGAAAATCAGTGGCTTTATGCTGGGCTGACTACGTTTTAGTCGTTGCATACATCAACATTGTATTTGATCATTATTATTTAATATATCTATGTAAGTTAGTTATTTTCTTCTCTTATTTTTTTTTTGTAAATGGTGTTTGTGAACGACTAATGAACATTTTTCTATTCTATCCTAATTAAATAACGTGTCAACAAGTTGTTATTGGTTGCCGTGATAATACCGTGAAGTTGGTCGACGCAGGCAGGAGGTCCGGCGCGGGCGTGAGCGTGGGCGCGGGCGTGGGCGGGGGCGCGGGCGTGGGCGTGGGCACCGGCGGGGGCGTGAGCGTGGGCAGCAAGGCGGCGATCGTGGAGCCGCTGGGCGTGTACGACTGCATCAACCTGGGGCGGCGCATCGATGTGCAGTGGCCCTCGGAGCTGATGCGAGAGCGGGGCGGCCGCAGCCACTGGGGCAGCTGGGTGCCCGCGCAGGGCATGGACGGCCTGGTAAGGACTCTACTCCTCCGCGCTCTAAGGACGGGCTACGATGTCTACCCTGTCATCTTACATGGCAGGGTTATGTGGGGTTCGTACCCACTAAAACCACTCGGTGGCCACCTTCTGTACCCCGGAATCTGCTTCCCCGATTCCGTCGCCATCTTGCAGCAGCTCGAGGCCACTTCGAGCTGCTGCCAATCCGTGTCCCCTTCACGACGGGCAGGGGACACCTCAGTCCTAACCTAGAGCCCGGAACTACAGGGCTGACGATTTCACACCTAGGGCGCATATCGACCACGGGAGCCAGGACAGCCATTGGTGATGTGCAGCAAGCCTCACACTCCTCTGCGGTTGACCTATGCAGGTCTCTTCATGATGTTTTCCATCACCCCCGATCACTTGATAACTCGTTCGATCGAACTCTGATCGAGTATATTGAGTTAAGAGCGTGCGCTCGAACAATGAACTATCACGGCACAGGGTTACATTATACAATAGTGAGGGGACAACGTTTTCGAAGGGGAGAACACACGCGTTTGGAGCGAGACAGCTGACGTTCTGAGCTCACTGCCGGCAGGTGGTGCACAAGTGGAGTCCCAACCACCGCGACCCGAAGCTGCGCTCGCACGTGGACAAGAGCATCCTGCTGCTGCAGATCGACGACAAGTTCGTGCCCATCGCCGAGAGCTGCGTCCAGGACCTCGGCGACGAGGTCTGAGGTCCCAGGTCCGAGCTGTGAGGTCCCAGCTCCGGACCTGACCCGCTCTCCGCTCTCCACTCGCCGGCTCGGGTGCTGGACAGCTTTTGGGCGGAACAGCTGACTGCCTAGGGATGTCGAAAGCGAAGAAATATATCGATATATCGATATTTGCTTTTTATATATCGATATATCGGCTGAAAATATCGATATATAAAACCGAAAATACCGATCCACATACCGATATTTTTTCGAAATCCTATCCCTATCAAACAAGAAGGCCATTTTTGTGGTAATTTCGAAACGTCCAAACATAACTAATAGAGACGCCTAACGCGATGGTGTAAACAGTTCCGCGTGTCTCAAGAATATAATGCAAGAAGTGGACCGTGTTCGCTATGTAATAACCTACGACGACGGGCTCGTCACCTGTCACGTCGGTCCGAATGAGCTCTGTTCAAACATTGTCAAAAGTCTCTGCTTACCGTATAAGAGACGATCGCGTGAGCTTAATATTATTTAATACGTCTCTATAAGACTGCGTACTAATGGCTAATGGTGGACCCAATGAAATCTCTTGCCCTGGAATCGATCCCGAAAGTTATTGTGAATTGTATGTAAGATATATAGATTGTATGATTTAATGTTCGTAAAACCTTTCAATAGGTTGATGCACTAATTTATATGTATAATATTCGTAGTGAATCGTTAAACTTGTTTGCGAAGAACGTTGTATATAGGCGCTTCTTTATGTGTCGATAGATAACGTGGTATGTAAATAGACTATGTATATAATGTATAAAAAAAAAACTTAAACCGTGTACACTTCGCTTAGGTTAAGTAGAAAACTCCTTTTTTTTAGTATCAATATTATTTCGTCTCTAAGTTATGTTCTGTTTTTTTTTTATTTTTTTGTATTTTTCGTTCGTCGTATTTAGTGAAACTATCGCTCCCAAAAATACACTTAGTCTTTCTTCGAAACCAAATAAAATTGCCGCGTAATGTGAATTTTCTATTGTATCCTCGTATTTATAATGGAAAAGGTCGCGTATAAGTATTTATTGTGGTTTGCACGTGGCCTATTTTATTTTCCAATCTTATCAATGAAAAACTATTCCATGGTATCATATAAGAAAATAAATAAATGGATAACTAGTATCAAGTCTTTCGCTTTGTTTTATAATAAAAGTTAAAACGAGAAAGTGGCTTTATTTAAGTCGTTTAGGATTTAATAGTTAATGTAAGTCACATTAGGTCAGGTCAATATGAGAAACTGCAACGTAGTGACGTCATAGTGTCACGGGTTTGATTCCCAGTGGCTTCAGCCAACCCAATATTGACGATCCGAATGGCGTAGTGGATAGTGATTGTGGGTTCGATCCCCACTACTGGAAAAATATTGTGTAATGAACATAGTGTTTTTCTGGTGTCTGGGTGTTTATATATGTTTAATATTTATTTACAAAAGAAAAGTATGTTTTTCAGTTATCTAGTACCCATAGTACAAGCGTTGCTTAGTTTGGGACTAGAAAACGTTGTGTAAAACTTCTAAAATATTTATTTATTTTAAAATCAAAACTGGATTTGTTCACTTAAACAAAAAAATATGCTGGAAAATCCATTTTATTGAAGTAATCGACCTGCGCAGCGGCCGCGTGCATTCCGAAAGATTTTATTGTTATTTGTTGTATATTTAATCTCACGTAAATCGTATAGTTACAAATATATAAATACATATATTATGTGTTGTTCGATGCGGTCATCTACGTGTTGAGTTTTACAAATTTACTCTGATTGTTCATGTTGACCCTTCGGTGTGAACTATTTCGGATATATTAAAATATTGGATACACATTATAATACATACGCGCGTTAATCGTGTTCATATTTAAATATATTAACGCCCGTTTGCTGAAACACTGTTCGTCGTAGAAGTGAACTAATCATCTGTCACATGGCTTTTCAAATGTCATTTAATTTGCCAAAAAGATGGTTAAACACTGAATTTCCATTAAGAACGTCATTCTGATCAATTCGAAGAGTTTAACAATCATTTTGGCAACTGAAATAACATTTAAAAAGCCATTTGACAGCTGATTAGTTAACTTCTACGATGGTCAGTGTTTCGGAGACGGGCGTAAGTGTTCCAAAATTGATTTCCTGTGATTTCTTGTCAAGATAATTGTTTCTTTCATTATGTTGGCTCAGGATAGTTGATTCTTAATAATCGATTGTACTGCGAAGGACGTTCTGTCGACATTACCTTGAAATTTAAGCGAAGACTGACTTGAAAGTTGTAGGAAGAATTGAGCCGCGCTGTTTGTAATAATTAACCGTTAAAAGTCTAAATCTGAACTGTAAGACTTTAGTTATTTTAGTTTTAGTTCCATTATTTTCTTCCCATCTGCTAGTTGTCAGTGTTTCGCTAAAAACCAAATCGAATACTCAGTTATGCTGTAACTAATAATTTGTGTTTACAAGCGAAATGTTCCAATCAATGCTTTTATATTAAGCGAATAAGCGATTTAATTTTCAACTCATTAAAATTCTTATTGATTTATGTTCTGTGTCATACTCTCTATTCATTGCTGTGATTGTTTGATGACAAAAGTGCGGTTGATGATTCTTTCTTGTTTGAAATGTGTCTAAAGCAGTTATTTAGTGAGAAAATTTAATCAAGTCTTAATTTCATTCGTTCCTAAAATGCATGGTGATTGGTCACAAAATTTTGTTAGGCGAGATATATGTATTTCGCCTTTATATGCATGTTCTAGACTGATCTATTGTTATAATTTACATTAGGGCGAAGTTAATGGTTCTCTGATAAATTATAACTCAGGATGCTGCGACGTACTTACATATCTATGTAAAATAAAGAATCTATAAATATTTAAAATCGCCATTCGGTGATATGTCAAATAATTAAATAATAATAATAATATGTAATCAAAAATTTATTCCAAATGATGTTTTACATAACTATGAAAAGTTATTAATGGTAATTTCCTTACACTCTGCAACCTTTTGATTTTTTTTTGCGTTTATTTTGTGTTGTTAGAGACATTATACATGGCGTAAGCTAAACCACCCAAGGCTTTATTATCTGTAATTTTGTCAGGGCTGCCAGATTGTATACTTTGATTAATATAGATTATTGTAAGATATCGTCAAAATTGCATTTTTATCGTAAGCAAGTTACCGTGAAATTATATACAAAAAGTTTTAATTAATTGTTGATGAAAATCATGATTTCATCATATTCAGTTCTCCTATTTGTGACTGACAAAACAAAGTTACTTTTTTTGGTTGTTATTTCTGGTTTGTATCCAACGATCAGATCTTATGTAACTATAAGAACGCAATGTTAAGGTATAACCGGTCTATACTGGCAGCTCTCGAGTTTCCGCGCTATATTAGCTAATTTATGTGGGTTGCACATGGTACGGTGACAAACAGATTCAACTTGTAGTAAAACAAGGAAAAGATCTTATTCAAGAGCGGCAGTTCTTGTGAAGAATAAATATATTAATTCCGAGGCGTAAGCCTATCTTTTTCAACAACGCTTTTTATGTATGTATGTCGACGTTAAGACAACACGAGCAAAGTAGGAATTTGTACGGTAGGAAGGCACAATCCGTCCTCAGCGTTTCTTGTACATATGTACGTAACCAGCGCGTGTTGTATGTATAAGCGAGCATCGGCTAAGGTACGCGTAAGCGACACTGCAAATTTCAACCATAACAAAATCAAAGAAAACTGTCCGTGTAAAGTAATGTTGATTATTTATAGGTCGAGCAATGTAAGCGTTTATGCAATCGTATTGAATCAAATGTCACTACAAACTTGTATTCAGAAATGAGTAACATAACATAGCAAAAGCACAAAATCTATAGTGACACTTGATTCTTTACAAATCATGAGCCGTTTATAGATTCAAATCGAACCAATCACTTGTCCGTTTGTGCACGGAACTAAGCCTGTGGGGCGTTCAATTTCTTCTGTGAGTATCGCCATCTCTCGGCGCAGATATGCAACTTGTGAATATCGAACTATCCTGGAATAAAATGGTACTTGGAATAAAAATTTGTTTTATTTAAAACCACTGCTTGTGATTATTGATTTTCTTAATGTTTTCTCATTGCATATATTGTGATGTATCAGAAATTTGAATTTACGATCATTATTCGCAATTCGTACGTACGTGCGTTTCTATACATACCTGTTACTCGTTGCTCTGTAAACTTAATCTGAAAACAGTGGTAAAAAGTGATCGTTCAGTGATATAAAAAACATTCTTAATAAGTTTAGAAGAAAATCTACATTTTGGCCAAATTTGTTTTCAAAAACTCGAGTGGAATAAAGAGCTATCAGTGTTTATAATTTAAAATAATTCGTTAACGTATAGTCGAGTGAAGCGAGCTCGCCAACGTACATGAGTCATCGTCGCTCTGCAGTGCCGCATTGAAACGTGCAAGTGAACTTGCTTCGTGCTACGTTTAATAACAAGTATAGTACAATTAATACCAAATAAAAATATTATGTCGCAAACTAAATCTAAGTTTGGTTGTTGTGACCAACTGGGACCTGTGCACCGCACAGCTTAGTATGTAAATTATGCAAGTACAAATATCGCTTGAGCTGCGTTAATATACAAAAATCATTCAAGGAGCTAACGGAAGAATATAAGTCAAATTGGTTGTGTCCATGCTGTCATAGTAAGATCCCCAAAACTGATAATACTAACACCCCAATTAGAGCGGTTCACCAGCAAACGACCGTTAGTGAACAAGAAAAATTATCGCAACACGTAAACACTAGGAGAGGAGGGCGAATAGAAAAAATATCTTCATTGGAATCAGAATCGACAATATCTATACGTAGCATAGTGAGGGAAGAGCTAATAGTGTTTCTGACAAGTTAAACTCATCTCATCTTGGACTTGGTGGAGAAAGAAAACCGGTATACATTCTTGAACATCTCTCACCTACGCAAAAAGCAATACACGCAACTGCACGTCT